GTCTTAACTCTTGATCCAGTTTGCCAGTTTGTGTCTTTTAATTGGGGCATTTAGCCCACTTACCTTTAAGGTTAATGTTGTTAAATGTGAATTTGATCCTGTCGTGATGCTAGCAGGTTATTTTGCCCATTAATTTATGTGGTGTCTTCAGAGTGTTGATGATATTTACAATTTGGTATGTGTTTTGCTGTGGTTGATACTGATTTTTCCTTTCCATATTTAGTGCTTCCTTCAGGAGCTCTTGTAAGGCAGGCCTGGTAGTGACAGAATCCCTCAGCATTTGCTTGTCCATAAAGGATTTTATTTTCTCCTTTGCTTATGAAGCTTAGTTTGGTTGGATATGAAATTCTGGGTTGAAAATTCTTTTCTTTCGGAATGTGGGATGTTGGCCACCACTCTTTTCTGGCTTGTAGGGTTTCTGCAGAGAGATCTGATGTTATTTTGATGGGCTTCCCTTTGTCGGTAACCCAATGTTTCTCTCAGGCTGCCCTTAACTTTTCCTTCATTTCATCCTTGGTGAATCTGATGATTATATGTCTTGGGGTTTCTCTTCTCTAGGAATATCTTTGTGTTGTTCTTTATCTTTCCTGAATTTGAATGTTGGCCTGTCTTGCTAGGTTGGGGAAGTTCTCCTAGATAATATCCTGAAGTGTGTTTTCCAATTTGGTTCCATTCTCCCTGTCACTTTCAAGTATATCAATTGTAGGTTTGGTCTTTTAATATAGTCCCATATTTTTGGTAGCTTTGTTCATTCCTTTTCACTATTTTTTCTCTCATCTTGTCATCACACTTTATTTCATTGAGTTGAACTTTAATATCTGATATTCTTTCTTATACTTGATTGATTCAGCTATTGATACTTGTGTATGCTTCACGAAGTTCTTGTGCTGTGTTTTTCAGCTCTATCAGGTCATTTATGTTCTTAACTAAACTGGTTATTCTAGTTAGTAGTTCCTGTAACCTTTTATCAAGATAAAAGGTTCCTTGCTTCCTTGCATTGGGTTAGAACATGCTCCTTTAGCTTGGAGGAGTTTGTTATTACCCACCCTCTGAAGCCTACTTCTGTCAGTTCGTCAAACTTATTCTCTGTCCAGTTTTTTTCCTTGCTGATAAGGAGTTGTGAGCCTTTGGAGGAGAAAAGGAATTCTGGTTTTTGGAATTTTCAGCCTTTTTGCACTGTTTTTCTTCATCTTTGTGGATTTTTCTACCTTTGGTCTTTGATGTTGGTGACCTTCAGACCTTCCTTTTTGTTTATGTTCATGCTATTGCTTTCTGCTTGTTAGTTTTTCTTCTAACAGGCCCCTCTCCTGAAGGTCTGCTGGAGTTTGCTGGAGGTCCACTCCAGATCCTGTTTGCCTGGGCATCACCAGCAGAGGCTGTAGAACAGCAAAGATTGCTGCCTGTTCCTTCCTCTGGAAGCTTCCTTCCAGAAAGGCAGCCGCTGGATGACAGCCACAGCTCTCCTGTTTAAGGTGTCTATCGACCCTTGCAGTCAGGAGGCATGGGGTCAGGGACCCCACTTGAGGAAGCAGTCTGTCCCTTACCAGAGCTCAAGTGCTATGCTGGGAGATCCACTGCTCTCTTCAGAGCCAGCAGGCAGGAATGTTTAAGTCTGCTGAAGCTGCACCCACACCTGCTCCTTCCTCCAGGTGTTCTGTCCCAGGGAGATGGGAGTTTTATCCATAAGCCCCTGACTGGGGCTGCTGCCTTTCTTTCAGAGATGCCCCACCCAGAGAGGAGGAAACTAAGAGGCAGACTGGACATGGGCTTTGAGGAGCTGTGGTGGGTTCTGCCCAGTTCCACCTTGCTTGCAGCTTGTTTACACTGTGAAGGGAAAACCCTCCTGCTCAAGCCTCAGTAATGGTGGGTGCCCCTCCCTATGCCAAGCTTGAGCATCCCAGGTCGATTTCAGACTGCTGTGCTGGCAGCGAGAATTTCAAGCCAGTGGTTCTTAGCTTTCTGGGCTCCTGGGGGTGGGTTCTGCTGAACTAGACTACTTGGCTCACTGGCTTCAGCCCCCCCAGTAGAGTGAATGGTTCTATATCGCTGGCGTTCCAGGTGCCACTGGGGTACAAAAAAAACCCCTCTGCAGCTAGCTTGTTGTCTGCCCAAATGGCTGCCCTGTTTTGTGCATGAAACTCAGGGCCCTGGTGGTATTGGCACCTGAGGGAATCTCCTGGTCTGCGGATTGCGAAGATAGGAGTAAAAGCTAGTATCTGGGCCAGATAGTACCATCCCTCACTCATGGCACAGTACCTCATGGCTTCCCTTGGCTAGGGGAAGGAGTTCCTGACTCCTTGGGCTTCCCATGTAAGGAGACACTCCACCGTGCTTCTCCTCGCCCTCTGTGGGCTGCATCCACTGTCTAACCAGTCCCATTGAGATGAGCTGTTTACCTCTGTTGGAAATGCAGAAATCACCCACTTTCTGTGTTGATCTTGCTGGGAGCTGCAGACAGGAGCAGTTACTGTTCAGCCATCTTCCCCGGGAATCAACAAAGCCCTTATTCTTAACCAGTGTGGCACATACCAGTTTTGGACAGTAGCAAAAGGAACAATGTGCACGTTGACTCAGATCAGAACTTGAAAGTCATTGGAAAATGGAATGAAGAAAGGACAATATGAATGGGGATTTCAGTTGAAGAAACTTTTAAAAGCAATAGTGGCATACATCTGGTTGGTGTAGAAAGACAAGAGTTCAGAGAAGGGTGACTAATGAGAGATAGTAAAGGAAAGTGGAATGTATGAGTCATACAGTGGGGAGGTTTCTTTTTGGCAGCTATGCTTGCTTTAAGCACAAAAAAAGAGAATAGCTTGTTGAAGATATTATAATAACATTAAAATATTAGTCTGAGGAGAATTTTTTCCCATTTGTCTATTATCTTTTTCTTTTCTAGAAGATTCCACATCAAGGTACCTTAGATGCCACTTCCTTATTCTCACTTGACTCTTATATCTTAGGTATATTTTCTGGATTAAGATAGAGTAGCTTTTAGCTTACATTTGATTTTATTAGTCTCCATAATTTGTTTATATCTGGTCATAATGCTATTCTCTGGTTTAGAATTGAGGTACTAAAATAAGTAGGTTTTAGTTAGCATGTTAAATTGTAGGAGTATTTAAAAGTTCCATGTGTTAGGTGTAGGATTTTACTGTAAGAAGTTAGATTTCTTCAAGATTTTTCTACTATTACTGCCTTCTCTTTTTAAACTACCTTTAATATACTGCTATACATTTTATTCTTTTTCTCCTTCTAGTTTCCCCTCCCTATTTCTCCTGCGAGAAAATAATTTGAAGTCAAATAAGGTTTTCTCCTGAAGGAACTCACAATTTAGTGTCTAATACAATAAGTGCCATGCAAGAGCAGGAAAACAAGGAACATTAAATTTTATGGCACAGAGGACAGAGATTCTATTAGGTACCAAGAGATATTTCAGCTGATCCTTGAAGGCTTGTGACAGAGCTCAGAAAGGCATTCCAGGCAGAGGAACAGCCTGAGGAAGGCATAGAGCAACCCAGGTCATTCAGTGAGCTGTATCCTAAACAAGGGGAGGCCTTCTACAGATTTCACTGTACTCGTGGAGACAAACATGAGTCAGGGTAATTGCCTCTAAAAAAGGAGTTACAGTTTTAACCTGCGACTAGTGGGCAGCTAGTGTCACAATAACACTAAGAAGGAAGGACATAAAAAAAAATTCTGCATAGTAGAGGCAAAGTTGGAGTCCAGCATGAGGGAAAAAGCCACATATACTTCTATAGCTCTCCACTTTTGAGAAAATTTGCTAGAGGGAACGCCACATGACAGAAATTATTTTCATTCCATAGATCACCCCACTTGCTCATTGCTGGCTGTTTTTCTCTGTTTTTGATGTTTTATTATGCAGCTATCTATTGATCCTTTTAAAAATAGATGCATTTATTGAACTTATACCGTGTGCAGGCACTGTTCATGTTCTCTATGTTTTCCAGCTCATTTAATAGATTTCTTCTCTTATGATTTTACTTTAATGATCTTGGTAATTTCCTTATATGTTGCATAGATCACAGCTATTACACAGCCACCCCTGGCTGCAGGGTAAGCTGGAAAAGTGAGTATTTACCCTTTCTTGCCTTAATAGTGGAGGCAGGCCACAAAAATAGAAGTTAGAAATGAGTGTCAGCTACATATTTGCTTTTCTTACTTGCTTCCTTTGTTTATTTCTGTCCCCTTTTATTTGTTTCTTATTGTAAATCTAACTGTTTTTCTCTGAACAAACTAAAATTCTTTAAAAGTTAAAATTCTTCACTATAATATTTGACATATAAAAGTTCATGAAGATAAATTACAGCTTGGGTTTTAAATTTTACTTGTATAGATTAACATCAAATTTTAATATTATAAAAGCAATTCTACAGAGGGAATGTTTACATTATGCTTCAGTATTTTCAGTTGTTCCTTACAGTTCAACATAAACATCATATGCCAAAGAAGTATAGTCTTTTGTTGTATATTTCCTTTGCTGGTCTTTTAAGACATAAATATTATGAGTCAAATGGCAATCTTACCCACATTGAAGCTTTTAATTACAGTGAGTTGAACTCCAAATTTATAAAACAGTAGAATCATTTGATAAAAACAGTTGGATTAGCTCATTGAGTCATTCATTAAATATTAAGTTCCTGTCATGTGCCTCAGGGTTTGGAGAGATGAAAGGGTTGATAGGGAATGATATTTGAGGACAGGCTGTCTCTACGAAAATAAAAGCAATTACCAATTTTAATTTTAAAAAAGTAAAATATATATATAAAAACAGTAATAAAATATAAACCCATAAACGCCCTTGAACAACAAAATGTACACCCCTAAGTAAGTAGGTGGGTGGATGCATGAATGGATGGATGAATGGGAGGGTGGACAAAGACTGATAGATAAATACTTACTAAATTAAGATTAATGTTATGATTAATGGTGTTTCAATATTATGTTGTCTAAATATATGTTAACTCTTTTAAAAAATTAAGGTTGACAGATTTGCAATGGAATTAGAACAGAGCCGAAATTTGAACAATACCATAGTGCACATTGACATGGATGCTTTCTATGCAGCTGTAGAAATGAGGGACAATCCAGAATTGAAGGATAAACCCATTGCCGTAGGATCAGTGAGTATGCTGGTAAGATCAAAAACAAAAAGGAAATTCTGTAACATATTCATAAGTTTACTGGTTCATGAAAGGGGAATTCTCTATTGAGGTCTACCAGTTTGCTGAGTATTTTTCTGGGTGCCTTATAAATGACTCAATTACTGAATCCTTGTAACATACTTTAAGGCAAGGGTCCAGCCCCTGGTTCACAGACCGGTATTGGTCCTTGGCCTGTTAGGAACTGGGCGTCACACAGGAGGTGAGCGTCAGGCATGCGAACGAAGCTTCATCTGTATTTACAACCACTTCCCATCACTTGCATTACTGCCTGAGCTCCGCTTCCTGTCAGATCAGTGACAGCATTAGATTCTCATAGGAGTGCAAACCCTATTGTGAACTGCACATGGGAAGATCCAGGTTGCCTACTCCTTATGAGAATCTAATGCCTGATGATCTGTTACTGCCATCACCCCCAGATGGGATCGTGTAGTTGCAGGAAAACAAGCTCAGGGCTCCCATTGATTCTACATTATGGTGAGTTGGATAATTATTTCATTATATATTACAGTGTAATTATAATAGAAATAAAGTGCACAATAAATGTAATATGCTTGAATCATCTCAAAACTATCATCCCCACCAGTTCGTGGAAAAATGGTCTTCCATGAAACCATTCTTGGGGCCAAAAAGGTTAGGAACTGCTGCTTTAAGGTACTAGTTTTTATTTCCATTTGAGAAACAAGAAAACAAACTCAGAGAGATGTTTAATAACTTGCCCAAAGTTACAAACCTAATAATTTACAAAGCAAATTAAGATTTCTTAAGTAACCATTCTAGTGAAAGAGAATTGAAGAAGAAAAAAGGTTATTCTAAAGTCTTAAAGATTTTCAAAGTGGTCTGCAGGCCAAATCCAGCTTTTTATTGGAACAAAGTCACACCCATTTATTTATTACTGTTGTTGCACTTAAAGAGCAGAGTTCAATAATTCAATGATCTGCAAAGCCTAAAATGATTACTATTTGGACTTTCACAGAAAAGAAAAGGTTTACCAACTCCAGTTCTGGAATAACATATTTCATTAATATATAGTACATTTAGAATGCAATTAAATTGTTTTTCCCATGACTTGGAACCTTTGCTTTTCTGATTACTGTATTGCTCTTCCTTTTTACCACTCTAACCTTAGAAGGTAAAAATGACCAGGATAGCTATGTATGGCTGAAAATGTGTTGGGAATTAAAAGTAGCAACTGGAATAGATGGGTTTTGGTATTTAAAAAGCATTAGATAAACAAGAAGAGTTTTTCCCTGTTCCTAACTCCTTCCCATGCCTTAGATAGCTATAAAACTAATTCTTACTGAGTTATGATTTTATTATAAAACTATAATCTGTTTTTTATGTCTGCCTCTATGAGTATGCAGGCAAGTGATAACTCTGATTCCAAAACACTGTTTTTTGAAAGGAAACTCCCCTTTCCTATAAATCATCAATAAATATTTGAAAAAATATATTTAATTTTATTAAAATATAGCACTATAAATTTATGTAAGCACTATAAATTTATGTATGCTTATCTATGTATATATATACATTCAAACTTGCTGTAGCCATGTTAAAGCTAAACCAACTGCTTTTGAAATCTACAAAATATTTTCTTTTCTACAATTTCTGTCCTCCTAAAAATCAGTTATTGTTTCAAAATTCAAAATTACTATTTGTTATATTTAAACAAAGATTACCCCTTTTGTATGTTGAACAAATAGGTTTCCCTTCTAATGAGCATAATTTTTTGTCCTGTTAAACATTATTCCTACAGGTAAAAGTTCTTTTTTGGTGAATTTGATAGATTTTTGAAATGTTCTAATTTGGCACTGAGAGTTGCAACTGAGACCCTGTAGCAGTTATCTGTTGCTGCATAACACACTCTCCCAGTATTTAGTGGACAGTCAAAATTTATTTGCTCATGATTCTGAAATTTGAGCAGAGTGCAGTGGTGATGGCTCAACTCTACTCTATCTGGAGTTGGCTAGAGCAATTTAACTGAGGCTAAAAAATCCAAGATGGCATCATTCACAGGTCTGGCACTAGGACTGAGGAGATTGGAATGGATTCCAGCCTTAGAACTTTCTCCATTGTTGCCTCATCATTTAGTAATCTACCCCAAAATATTTACAGTGGTTGCTGGATTACAAAAAGCAAAAGCCTAGATTTCAGAACTCAGTGTCACTACCCTCACATTATTTTCATCTAACCAAGTCATAGGACAAGTCATGTGGCAGGAGGAACTATAACCCACTTTGAAAAGAGTAACTATAAAGCACTATGGCTATGATCTACAATATACCACAAATCTAAAAGTTAGAGAAACTCTTATTTAAAAGTTTGTTTCTCCTCTACTGTAGATCTAGCTTTTATATCAATTCTATTAAACTTATTTATTTAAGCATTGATTTTGTTTCTACACTATCTGCATTTTCTTTTCCAGAACACTGACCAAGGATTAATATAGTTTTGAGTACTATCAAGATGTCTTAATTGCCATTTGAAAATTATGATTGGAAAATTGATATTATTCTGAAATAATTTCTTCATTTGATTCTGTTTTGCATTTTTTGAAATTTCACTTGAGATTCCAAATAAGCATTCAATTTGTGATACAATTCATTTTATAAATAGTATTATGGTCTACCACATTCACATAGACTTTTGTCAGATGTCATCATCAACAGGATTTAGTAAATAATATTCTCCTTTTTACTCTCATACTTTTGTAGTTCCAACTCCTAGTCAGAATGTTTTCAGCAAAAAAAGATAATTAAGGTTTAAGGAAAAAAACCTTAATTTCTAAACTTACTTTAAGCTTTAACCACTTCATTTTGGAGACTTAATTCGGCTGACCACATAGAAAAACTTTTATTTTTGTTCTAGATGAAAAATTTCCAAAATCCCAAATATAGCAAATTCCAAAAGTATGCTATTATGCTATACTATTACTTTGTATAATGTAACATCTGTACTATTTGTACTACACTATTATTTTATGACTATTCTATACTGTTTACTATACTATTACTTTCATGTAACGTAACTCACTATCATTCAAACTTTGATATTTATTCTATTGCAAGTATGCCTTAAAACCAATGAAGTTTAGTTACTGGAAATATAAGAAAATCTTTTTATTAGCACAGTCTTGCATATACTTGGTATCACATTATAAATATAGGGATAGTAATGGGAGAGGGTCATGGTATCAAAATACCATGACAGAATAAGTCAAAACATGGGTTAAAACAGTGGCCTATAAATGAAATGTCCTTGAATTGAAAATGCACATATTAATGTGTTTCTTATGAATGCATTGATCAATATGCTCATTTAGGTTTGTGTATTTTTTTTCCTTGTGGTCAATTCTCTTTCAGACTACTTCAAATTACTATGCAAGGAGGTTTGGTGTTCGTGCAGCTATGCCAGGATTTATTGCTAAGAGACTCTGCCCACAACTTATAATAGTGCCCCCAAACTTTGACAAATACCGAGCTGTGAGTAAAGAGGTAAGTTAATGTCTCACCCCTGCTTTAGCCTTTCACTGATTTCCTGTCACCTGGAGAGTCAAGTCCAAGTGCCTTAGCATGTCAGGATTTGGTCTTAGCTTATCCTTTCAGTCGAGCCCTACCACTTTTTCAGCTTGTATACTGAATACTGAGCTGCATATAGTATCCAGAATACATCATTCTATTTCCCAGTTCTTTACCTTTTCATGCAGTTTTCATGTGCTTAGAAAACTCTTCCCATTTCCTCAAACGTTGAACTGCCTTCATGACAATATAAAATTAAATTTAGCTATTTTTTCTTAATATACATTTTTTCTATAACCACATTTTATTTAGAACCCATAGAATCTGCTCATTATTTAATTTCAACATATTTTCTGAGTAATTCTTTACTTAATTAATGTTGTTAAACAGTGATAAAATTCATGTATTTTGATTAGTCTATTTGCCCCACAATCATTTACTGTCTAAGAAACTGATAATTGAAAAGGGAGTAATCCATTGCTTCAGGACTGATCGTTGAAGTAGATCTGATTATTTACTAAAATTGCCAAACTGTCATATGTGAAAAACTGCCACTTTAAAAATTTTTTATGACAACTGGCCTTTCATGCAGTGCTGGAATTTAATTTTTAAATTAAGATTTTAGATTGCTACATCAAATACTTTTAGACTGCTATAGTAAAATGTGTTAAAGAAGACTACTTTCTGAATAGAAACACTTCAAAAACTGTGGTCTGATACTTATTACTCTTTAGTTATGCCAGGGGTCTTTAAATTCACCCCTCTTACTTGTATTCCACCTCATTTTCCATAGAAGTGACCCTATGCCAAGTTTAAAAACAGGTTTTATTCTTTCCAAGGTGGTCTGTGACAGCAAGTGCTTTGTGCACACCTCTGAAAGGGTGATGGGTGAGAAGGGAGCACACTCATGTTTGGTTCCTGTTTATCTCTTTTATTGTATTCCTAATTAAAATGAGATAAAATGCTAATCATAAATATAGCCTTTTAAGAAGTTTTAAAAATCCTACAAAAACTTAGTAAGAAGGGGTGTTTTTTAAAGTTGTACTTTAACTTGGTAAAACTTATGGCAGTATGCCAGTGAGAACCAAAGTACTTTTAGTTATTTTAGTCTGGTTACTTATGTAAGTCAGAGAACTCTTCACATTTGAGCGGGATCTAGCCCGTTTATTTGCAGATAACAAATGAGTTCTTATGTGTAAATGAACTGTAGAACAAATTTATCACTGACTTATGGATACATTAATATTCATGACTTGGTTAGAAAGTTTAAGAAGGCTGGGCTAGGTGGCTCACACCTGTAATCCCAGCACTTTGGGAGGCCAAGGCCATCCTGGCTAACACGGTGAAACCCTGTCTCTACTAAAAATACCAAACAAAAAAAATTAGCTGGAGGTGTCATTCTAGCTACTTGGGAGGCTGAGGCAGGAGAATTGATTGAACCTGGGAGGTGGAGGTTGCAGTGAGCTGAGATTGCACCACTGAACTCTAGCCTGGGCAACAGAGTGAGACTCCATCTCAAAAAAAAAAGTTTTCAGAAAAGCTCCTCCTTTCTTTTTCGGAGACAGGGTCTCACGCTGTAGCCCAGGCTGGAGTGCTGTGGCTTGATCACACCTCACTGTAACCTTAAACTCTTGAGCTAAAGCAATCCTCTGACCTCAGCCTCCTGAGTAGCTAGAATGACAGGGATGCATCACCACACCCTCCTAATTTAAAAATATTTTGGCAGAGATAGGGTTTCCTTCTGTTGCGCAGTCTAGTCTTGAACTCCTGGCCTCAAACAGTTAACCCACCTGGGCCTCCCAAAGTGCTGGGATTACAGGCATGAGCCACCATGCCCAGCTAGCCATTTTTGTTTTATCTAAAATATTGGAGCTTTAAGTGCTTGATTTTTACTGGAATTTGACTGTTTTAATTCTTAAAGCAATATCCTATGTAAAGGAAGTTAATAAATACTCAACAGTGTCTCTAGGGAGTTCTTCTCATTCAGAATCTTAGTTGGCTGCTTAGTTGGACTTCCCAGAGTTTCATTTTCATTGGAAAGATTCTGTTTGAGCACATTATAACAAGAACAAAGCTAATTAAGGCACTCTCTGAGTAAAACTTGGCCAAGTTCATGTCACCATTTTCTAAAATACCTTTTGGCTCAGCTGTTCATAATTATATTAAGCTAAAAAGCTTTCTTTTTATAAAACAAGGAACAGTTTTCTTGTGATACAGTAGACAGTTTTAAAAGCTAAATGGAAGCATAACATAATTCAGCAAATATGTTTTCTAATATACATTTTTTTGAGGCAGGTTCTCACTCTGTCACCAAGCTGGAAAATATGCATATTATTTTGAGAACCATTGCCTCCAATTATAGCTAATACTTCAGTGATTAGAAAAAAAAGTCATAGTTTTATGTAATAACACTATCTTATATAAAAGGCATTTCTGAATTGTAGCATCTATAATTCTAATATTTATATGTATTTCTTTTATCCTAAGATGTAACTCCAGACTTTTCCCCATCATTTAAGGTAATAATGGAAGTACACTGCAGATTGGTCATTTTTCCCACTCAAGATCCTAATAAGTAATAGGAAATGGAAAAACATTTTTCTGTATGGGCATTAATTAACGTATGTAGTAAGTAGATTCATGCATTAATTAATGTATGTAGTAAGTGGAGTTTTATGTTCATGTAAAAATTAGTTGAACTATTTTCTAAAGTAACATAGTACCTTTACATGAGATTATTTCTTTTTAAAATGAACCAAAAACAAAAAAATGACAAAAGGTAGTAGGGAATACAATTCTGTCATTCCCACTTCAGCTTCTGACTAGCTACCTAAAACATTAGCCATTTTTTTGTATGTGCCTAGAAGATAATGTTGTCTGAGATTTATTTGAATTGCCTACTGTAACTAGATATAGATGGCTAAATAGAGGTGGTATCAATGAAGCTATTTCATGATCTTCTGCCTTCATGGTCTATTTTAATACAAAAGGAAATTTTGACAAATATTCCCTGGTAGTGGATTATTTATGCCTTAAATCCATGAGCTATTGATTGCAGGATTGTTACTGTAGTTGCAAACTAAGAATATTAACATTTCTTATCAGCTACATATGACAGAAGAAATTTGCTATCGCAGTAAAATTTAAACTTTTTTTTGTTTCATTTGAAGGTTAAGGAAATACTTGCTGATTATGATCCCAATTTTATGGCCATGAGTCTTGATGAAGCCTACTTGAACATAACAAAGCACTTAGAAGAAAGACAAAATTGGCCTGAGGATAAAAGAAGGTATTTCATCAAAATGGGAAACTCTGTAGAAAATGGTAAGCAAACTTATTAAGACTATCAAACCAAGAAGCAGTGAGGGGGCTGAGGCAAGGGGATCAGTTGAGCCCAGGAGTTCAAGACCACCCTGGGCAAGCTCTCACAGTGATTCACCTGAGGGCAGGGTGGTAGAGGCAAGAGGTATAAAACATGGCATAAAAAAGTCTGCAGAGGGGGTTTATGAATGTGACACATAAACTTGGTTTGCATTTTTCTATAGCTCTCTTTACCTTAACTTCTACCCATCCAGATGGGGAAAGAGCTCCAGGTAGATAACATTTCAACTGTTCCACAGTCTTTTTTTTTTTTGAGATGGAATCTCACTCTGCCACCAAGGCTGGAGTGCAGTGGCATGATCTCAGCTCACTACAACCTCCACATTCTATGTTGAAGTGATTCTCCTGCCCCAGCCTCCCAAACAGCTGGGATTACAGGTGGTGCCACCATGCCTTGCTCATTTTTGTGTTTTTAGTAGAAATACAGTTTCACCATATTAGCCAGACTGGTCTCGAACTCCTGACCTCAAGTAATCCCCCTGCCTCAGCCTCCCAAAGTGCTGAGATTACCTGTATGAGCCACCTTACCTGGCCTGTTTTCCATCTGAATTGCTCTACATTTTAAAACCAGATTATTTAAAAATGACAGGAACTGAAGGACATAAATAACAGCTAAAGTAAATTTGAAAATAAGGCTTATTGGTGAGGCAAGATGATTCACATTTATAATCCTAGCACTTGAGGGGGCTGAGGCAAGAGGATCAGTTGAGGCCAGGAGTTCAAGACCACCCTGGGCAAGATTATGAAATCCCGTCTTTATTTAACACAAAATTATAAAGTTAGCTAGGTGTGATGGCTTGTGCCTGTAGTCCCAAATACACTTCAGCCTGGGCACGAGAGAGACCCTGTCTCAAAAAAAAAAAAAAGGAGAGAAAGAAAATAAGGCTTATTATATATGTGCCCTGGGAATTTGGAAAATGTCTGACTGAATTAACATCTATGACTTAATTCACACTGCATATTTTAAATTTTTTAGTTAATCTGATGTCTTTGGTATTTATTTTATATTATCTTTAGTTATATTATCTTTAAAATTTTTTCCTAAATAGCCAAGTTTATTTTTCAAGTAATACACATTCATATGCATCTTGAAACTAGAAATTTAATTTTTGCTTCTGTATTTGCCTTAATTCTGAAAATGTTTACATGTAATAAAATTGTGAGATAGGATCAGAAAGCTTTGTTGCTAACCTTGCTTGTTATAAATACATTTAAATTGTATTTCTTCTACATTAAGCCAGAAAAATAGGCTTTAATGGATTTGTTCATGGAGACATTTTTAGTATAAGTATAGATTTAAGTGTATTTTGCAGTCCACTTATGAAAAATATAAATATAATGAGGTAATAACTAGAGTTGTATTTTTACTTTGTAATAATAGTTTATAGCCTATTAATAATAATGTCTCTTTTTCTTAAACTAGGATTCTTCAGTCAGACCTTAAGAATTTGTATATTTAAAGAAGCATAACTTTCAGAGATAATTTCTGTTTATTACGAATGTGCCCTTAGTCAAAGTGATACTTTATAAACAAGCAAATCAAAATTTAAAAAGTGTATACTTCTTAAAACAAAGATGAGTTACTCTTCCTGTTTATGATTTAGATAATCCAGGAAAGGAAGTTAATAAACTGAGTGAGCATGAACGATCCATCTCTCCGCTACTTTTTGAAGAGAGTCCTCCTGATTTGCAGCCACCAGGAGATGAAGAACAAAACAATCCTCAAATACTCCAAAACTCAGTTGTTTTTGGAACATCAGCCGAGGAAGTGGTAAAGGAGATTCGTTTCAGAATCGAGCAAAAAACAACACTGACAGCCAGTGCAGGTATTTAAAAGGATATTGATGGCCACTGTAGTTACAATTTGCAGACTCACTAATTCAAGTGTAATTTTAGTAGTTTCTCATTCATTTTACTTATCTAGTTGGTTCAACTTCTAACAACTTTACCTATTCAGAATTGCTGTGAACCTAGTAAGTAAATTGTAATTAAGCAGATTATGAGCCTGAAGAAGAAAAAAAGATCATAAATTTCATATAGCTATCTTTTTTTAAGCACAAAATATATTTTTATTGATTTTGCATGTCATACTTGATTATTACTTTGCCTTGGGAAACTTCAGTCCTTCCAAGATTACACTGCAGGAGAGAACCCGGATGACCACAAGGTAGGAGACAAAAGAAATACCAACTAGCAACATAGCAATCCAGGACCATGTGGTAAAAGGAAAAACAAGTTTACATATGCTGATAATCCATGAGGCCATCACTGTCTCTTAGCATAATAACTGTTAATCATTATGACGACCCTGAACTATCTTGTAAAAGCCATATTGTGATTAGGTAAATCTTTTTTTCTATATCAACGCATGTGAATGAATAATGCATTTTAGGAAGGTGTATATAACAATTGAAATCAACTGTTTAATGAATATATTTGAATGTACTCATTTCAAATTATCTTAATCAGGACTCCCAGAAATTGTAAAACATCTTTCTGAAAAATAGTAATTTGTTTTGTGAATAACATAGAAAGGATGCACCAATCTAATTATCATTATTTTAAATATACCGCAGCCCAGAATCTTTGATTTTTTGCTCTTTGTGGATAATCTATGCAGAAGACCTTTTCAGAGAGTAAATATCCATCCTAAATTATATCTGGATCTTTTCTGAGAAGTAGATATAGAACCACTATAAAAACAATCTGGGCCAGGCATGTTGGCTTACACCTACAATCCCAGCACGTTGGGAGGCCAAGGCGGGTGGATCACCTGAGGTCAGGAGTTCAAGACCAGCCTGACCAATATGGCGAGCCACTGTCTCTACTAAAAATACAGAAATTAGCCAGGTGTACTCAAGAGGCCGAGACAGGAGAATCGCTTGAACCCGGGAGGTAGAGGTTGAAGTGAGCCAAGATCGTGCCACTGCACTCGAGCTTGGGCAACCTAGTGAGACTCCATCTGAAAAAAAAAAAAATCTGTATTCCCACTAAAGATAGTAAGTAAACTAATAATAACACTTAATATTCCTCAGCTCAGAAATTACTCTCACATTTTAAAATATCATGGAGAACTCAATATTCCTCATTTTTGCTGCCACAGTAACTAATACAATCTCTTTTTCTAAAACCATATAGCAGGCCCTGGGGAAGTAAGATAGATGGTAATCAAATGTTACTCTTAAAGTAGCAGTACAAATCATTTGGTATTTTTTGCAATTAACTTTTTTTTCTGTTTTGTTACTGCATATTTAAAAGTCATACATATCAATTTCTTTGAGTCATCAGAGTATTCTTCTTTTAAGGCATTGCCCCAAATACAATGTTAGCAAAAGTGTGCAGTGATAAGAATAAACCAAATGGACAATACCAAATTCTCCCCAATAGACAAGCTGTGATGGACTTCATCAAGGATTTACCCATTAGAAAGGTAAGATTTTATATAAAGTTTGTCATCTATATATGTACTCCAAATTCTGAAGAGAGAACTGTGTAGGCCAATAGTTAATCATTCTTTGCTAAAAAGTTTTAAAACAACAGATAACAAACAAGAAGTATAATGGGTGATTGAATTTAGACTTGAAGAAATCTTTCTATGAAACCCTAAAAGTGAGATTTAGTTTATTTGCTATAAATTTTTAAGAAAGTAATAATTACAGATTTTTAAGTGAACTCCTACCAAGCAGAAGGGAAATTAAAATAATATTTATAACAGTCCTTTCATCTGTAACTTAGGGCTAGCTTAGTTCTAAAGTCCAGATTGCTGCTAGATTAATGGGCTTCAAAGATATTTAGAATTTTAATTGTTGTTGTCAAAGAATAAACCAAAATACTTCACCATTTTAAAAATGGTAAAATTATCCCTCAGGGCTTCCAAAAACTGTATACCTTACTATTTTTTAAAGCTTCTAGATTTTTCTGAATATATACACTTTTTTTTCCCAACAATTGCACTACACAGTACTGTATATGATGTTCTAGGACTTTTCTCATTCAACATAATGTACATGTATGAATTTAAATATTTTTCCAATGCTCAGTATGTAACAGATAATGATTACTGACTAGTATATGTAAGGCGTAGCTGCAAAGCTTCCAATATGTTTTTCAAGTATGAATATGTATTCTCTTTAAAAAGGTTCTGGGGTCAAATACCTTTGGGTGTGTCACACAGTCTTGTTGTGTCACTATGCATATTAATATATTAAAGATTCATAAATCTTGCAATTAAAAGCTTCACTTAAATTTGTTAGTCCCACCATTCCCCAAGTTTATATGACCCCACTACTCCTTTTTTAAGACTTTTGAAATTCCATGAAACGCTAGTTTAGTAAATGTGGTCAAAAGTAATTAAAGCAGTTTTCTTGCATGACTTGTGAATATAGTCACATTATTCATACCTTTAATCAATTATAAAAGGTATAATGAGCACTTTGGGAGGCCGAGGTGGGTGGATCACCTGAGGTCAGGAGTTCGAGACCAGCCTGTCCAACATGGAGAAACGGGCTAAAAATGCAAAATTAGCCAGGTGTGGTGGTGCATGCCTGTAATCCCAGCTACTCAGGAGGCTGAGGCAGGAGAATCATTTGAACGCAGGACGTGGAGGTTTCGGTGAGCCAAGATTGCACCATTGTCCTCCAGCCTGGGCAAAGAGAGCGAGACTCAATCTCAAAAAAAAAAAAAAAAAAGAAAAGCATAATGAGATCATAATGCTGGTTTTTAGCTCACCTTTAAAATCTATTAATAATAAATATTGATTCTTTTCTAGGTTTCTGGAATAGGAAAAGTTACAGAAAAAATGTTAAAGGCCCTTGGAATTATTACATGCACAGAACTTTACCAACAGAGGGCATTGCTTTCTCTCCTTTTCTCTGAAACATCCTGGCATTATTTCCTTCACATCTCTTTGGGTCTAGGCTCAACACACCTAACAAGGTATCTATATGTATTGTCATTATGTTTTTTCTTTGGCATTTACTGCAATATCAGTTTTAACCATTGATATGAGGCTATATGGATAACATGTTTTAAAATTCTTTTAGGCTAGTTTAATTTAGAATATAATGTTTGAATTAGAGTCAACAGATTGCATGTAGGAGAAAAGGAAAAGAAGAAGAAAGAATCACTCCTAGGTTGTTGGCTTCAGCAGTTGGGTAGAGAGACAAGAGGAATGATAGCTACTTTCTTTTTTATCCTACCTTGTTCTTTGTTCAGAACCTAAGAGGAGGCCAGGCATGGTGGCTCACGCGTATAATCCCAGCACTTTGGGAGGCTGAGGCGGGTGGATCATGAGGTCAAGAGATAGATACCATCCTGGCCAACCTGGGGAAACCCTGTCTCTACTAAAAATACAAAAATTAGCTGGGCATGGTGGTGGGCACCTTTCGTTCCACAGCTACTAGGGAGGCTGAGGCAGGAGAATCACTTGAACCTGGGAGGTGGAGGTTGCAGTAAGCTGAGATTGCACCACTGTACTCCAGCCTGGTGACAGAGCAAGACTTCATCTCAAAAAAAAAAAAAAAAAACAGAACTTAAGAGGAATGCCAGTAGTCAGGTTGTTCAGCCTGGTGACAGAGCAAGACTCCATCTCAAAAAAAAGGAAAAAAAAAAACAGAACCTAAGAGTAGTCAGGTTATTGTGGAAAGAAAGATGGCCATATTCCATAATACACACTTTAATAAAGGAAGGAGATGTGATGATTCTTTGAAAGCCTTATACTACATTTCTTTGGTTTTCCAAATTTGTATATGATTCATTCATTCAGTACTGAGTACTTTGTGTTAGGTACAGCAGCAAATAGGTGTTTGCTGCCTTCATGGAGTTTACAGACTAGTGTGAGAGATAGAATATAATCAAATAAACAAATGAAGAAAGTAAAGCGGAGTGAGGGCATAGAAAATGACTTGGGAGTAAGTGTGAGGGATGGCAACCATCATCCAAAGGGAGAGAAACGTGTGGGAGCCAGTCATGCAAAGGCTGAAGGAGGGAACAGCTAGAGGAAATACCCTGGGTTTTCTTCACTGCCACTCTTTCATCTAGGTCTTAAAAAGAGGAACTCTAGAGATAGAAGGTAAATTGCTTGGAGGATAGGTGAGAAGAAGGAAATTTTAAAAGACTAGCAATCATGAAAGTTAGCACTGGGCAGTATTTTTACAATTTTGTCATTGTCTTGTCAGGCTGTCCTCAAAATGACTCCTTTATATTCTTGTGTTTAAACTAAAGGACAACAATAAAAATCAATGGGGATGCATATAAAATTGGTTGACCAATTAAACCTACTGAATTTTACAGATTGCAAGGCTTGTTGTAATGCTTTACTCATCTCTTCCTGCTCTTCAATCTTTTGAGTCCACAGTTAGCTGACTTTGATCTTCGGTAGACATAATGAAAGATAAAGATGTCACAGCACTATAAATAATTATATTTGAAGATAGCAGGAAATAAAACTTTATTTTTAATCCAAAATTTTTTTATTTCCATAGTGCTTGAAAACAATATAATTCTGATATAACATAACATATATTAACTTGTGGTATTTAGAGATGCAGGTAAGGCTTTTACATGAAATTCATAGGTAATTTATAATATATCAAGCCTGCCTTTCCCTCTGTCTGTATTCTCTATTCCCTTACTTTGGTTTGCTTTTTAATCTGAGTACTTCTCCCCTTCTATTTATTTCGTATTTACTACTGTATTTGCGTATCTGTCTCTCTTCAATGGGATATATAAGTTTCCAAGTACTTGATCTGTTTTCTTCATTATTATATCCTCAAGTTCTAGAACAGTGCTTGAATCATAATAGATTCACTAAATATTTGGAGAATGAGTACTCTACATGTCATTTCAACTTTTTGGTTTTAACTACTCCTGTCAAGCAGCTAGAATACAGCCAAACTAGGTAGTTCAGATTCCAAATCTTCATCCTATGGCTCTGTACCAAATTCTGACTGAGGTTCTCTAGAGTGGTATAAATGATAATGAATAGAGTATGGGAGAAAGGAGTTAATATACTAGACCAAAAACTAGATAAATGATTTTAAATTTTTAAAAATTTAATTGTATTCTATAACTAGAAGATACTACATTACTACTTTCTATTTGTTTTTATAGCTTGTGGTTTTTGATAGTCAGGTTTTTAATAGAAGCAATTTCTAATATCTACCTATTTTCAAGTTTGTTCTCTTCAATAGATATAGACTTGATTAGCATCTTACCTATGTATGTTCTTTATTTTTACATAAAAAATAGTTTTTCATGATGTATAAATTTTAATAAAAAATTTGAGATCTCTAAAAGGTAACTGATGTGTTAAATCCTCTTGGTTAACTAAAAAAACTCAGTCTTTGAAAAATTAAGACTTTTTTTTTTTCATTTTAAGAGATGGAGAAAGGAAGAGTATGAGCGTTGAAAGGTAATGTTTTGTTAATTTTTGTTAATTGTGCATAATTCATGTTATTTTACTAATTTTGATTTTTAATATCACTGAAATAAGAAATCTATTTGCAAATTACTATAACAATTTTTAGTAGTTTACACTCCCTGAAGTAAAAGCCTTAGTATAAGACTATTATTTTCAGTTGCTATAATCTCAAAAATAAATTTCAGCTATTTTTTTAATGTTGGTTTTAATCCTTAGTGAAAACAAAGCATTTTAGAATTTCATATTTTAATTTCTAGCTTGTTTATAAGGACAGTTGAGTATTTACTTAGGAAATTTAAGAAGTAACAATGGTAATTCTTCCTAAAATTCTTTAAATATTGGTGATTAAGCAGAAACTTAATCACATAGTAAAATATTACTAATAAAAGGCAGCTTAAAGATGATCTACTTTAGTGGTTCAGAATCCTGTTGGAAAAACCAAAGAAAATCTTGATGGAAACTTACTGTTTGGGGAAATAAGTCATTGTTTGAAACGTCCCTCAGCTATCTTCTCAAAGTAGCAAGGTTCGTTCCATTGAGACATTTAAGAAACACTGACCTAGTCCCCGGCAAGGTGGTTCATGCCTATATTCCCAGCACTTCGGGAAGCTGAGGCAGGCAGAACACTTGAGGCCAGGAGTTTGAGACCAGCCTTGCCAACATGGCAAAACCCTGTATCTACTAAAAATACAAAAATCAGCTGGGCATGGTGGCTCACACCCGTAATCCCAGCTACTCAGGTGACTGAGGCTTGAGAATTGCTTGAAACTGGGAGGCGGAATTTGTAGTGAGCCAAGATGGCGCCACTCCACTCCAGCCTGGGCAATAGAGTGAGACTCTGTCTCAAAAACAAAACAAGACAAAACACTGACCTGGTCAAGGTGTGTTCATATTTCACATATATTGTTTGTGGTCAGAAAAGCTAAATAACTTTTACAAGACAACACAATAAATGGCTTTGATAAAAATTGCTATTTTAGGTTTCGGTCCATGTGAAAGCAATCAAAGAGAGAGAAAAAAGCATCCAAAAGCAAAATAGTATTGTGCTATTAATAAAATGCTCTGCCATTTTGTCTGTTATTGAGAACACTATTTGATACACAGGAATGTGTTCTCCATTGTTTTTCTGGAAACTGTCTCTCCTTGCTCTTTTTTAAAATGGGCCATATAACATCAAATTTGGTGTGAAGTTGGAGCAAAGGAGGTTGCAATTTATATCACACACTTCTTTAATATAGAAAGAACTCTTATAATCAATAAAAAGAGACAGTAAGTCAATAGAAAAAATGAACAAAGGTCTAATTAACTAAAAGAAAAGGAAATGCAAATGGCTCTTAAAACAAGTGAAAATACTGCCATTTTTACTTATAATTAAAAAAATACAGATTGAAAGTTCTCTCAGATACTGTTCTTTCTGTGGTTGGCCAAGATTCTAACATACTTTATTGACAGGACTGTGGGAGTAAAAAATGTATAAACTTTAGAGGGCGTGCATTAGGTTTTTTATTGCCATTATAACAAATTTCTAGAAATTTAGTGGCTTAAAACAACACAAATTTATTCTCTGTCATTCTGAAAGTCAGTGGTTCTAAAGTTAATATGTTGGTAGAGCTCCGTTTCTTCTAGAATCTCTGGAAGAGAGTCCATTTCTTCATGAAAAGCTTCTAGAGGCTACTGGCATTCCTTAACTCATAACCTCAGCAACTTCTTTATCTGACTCTAACCCTCCTGCCTCCTTCTTATAAGGACCCTTGGGATTACATTGAGCACAGGGGACATTCCAGAGTGATCTCTCTCCATCAGAATTTAATCACATCTGCTAAGTCCCTTTTGTCATATAAGGTACTAGGTTCACAGATTCCAGGGATTAGGATTTGAACATCTTTAGGGACCATTATCTGGCTTACCACAGGGGGTAAGAAATTTGATAATATATATCAAAATCACAGATACACATGTACTTTGATGCCATAATTCTTTTACGAAGAATTAATTCCACAGATGTAGTCACCTGTCATTTTACATATAAACAGGGTTACTCATTGCATTTTTTATGATAGAAAAAACTTGAATATCCATGAATAGAGAATTGGTTAAATTACCTTACATCTTTAAATTAGAATATCATGCCACCATATAAAAACGAGGAAATCATTTACTTATGGGGAACTTTCACCAAGATAAATTAAGAAAAGCAAGATACTAAACAATGTATCTAAAATTCTAAAATTCTACTGTTTATATTAAAAAATGAGGGGGAAATGTCATGTTGTTTGCATATATATATATATGTGGGATATTTCTAAGGAATTCATAAGAATAAGAAGCTGACACATTGGTTGTCACTAGGGAAGAGAACTGAGTAGCTGAGGACAAGGTTAGAAGTAGAAAGGGGACTCTTTTCTGATGGGTCACTTGCCCAGATACTCATCATTCTGGCCTCTTTCTATTATCCTCTTTTATGTTAATATCACCTATCAACTTCCTTCAGTACTCTTTTGCAAATGAATTCCAAATATCTATATTTATTCTTATCAGTCTTCTATTTTCAACTGTCTATTAAATAACTCTGCCTAGGTTTCATGGGCCAACCCTTTAACTCTACTTAAAGATGTTTCTCATCCAGAAAATCTATGTGCAGTAATTGGAATGATATTCTCATTTGGACTTTCTTAAGATGATCATCTGTAACAAAGTTTATGTATATGTGTGTGTGTGTGTGTGTGTATATATATATTTTTATATGTATATATATATTTTATATGTATATATATTTTATATATGTATATATACACGCCCTAATCTGTTTTAAGTTCTGGAGGTGTTACCGTTATCTATTGCTAACTTTAATTATCTTTGTTATGATATAATAGAGCAAGAGCATAAAATCGTTCCTTTGCTAATCAAACATTATTTATATAGATCTTAGATATTTTTACTTAATTAAATCTTAGTTCATCTGAAAACTTTATTCTGTACTGCAGAAAATATAACAACGCCAGCCATATAAACATGCATACCATTTCCAAACTATCCCGAATTGTGGTTTACTTTGTGCATCAAAATCTTTCTTGTCTTTTTAGGACTTTCAGTGAGATAAATAAAGCAGAAGAACAATACAGCCTATGCCAAGAACTTTGCAGTGAACTTGCTCAAGATCTACAGAAAGAAGGTCTTAAGGTGCTTTATTTTGATATGGTGTCCTTAGTTTTTAAGTTTTTTAAAAATGCTACCTTAAAGCTAGAGTTAAATTACACATTTCTTAATGATGACTACAAATTAATGAATGTCAGAATAGTGTATTCCTATCCCCAACGGTCAGACAAATTCAATTCTGACACATATCTGAAGTCTGTGATGAGGTGATTCTATGAAGAAGCAACTTACAAGGATAGAGTGGTTCAGTATAATTCAGAGGACTTTACTCCTGTACCTCAGGAGTACATTTGAGTAAGTTCAAAACCGGAGTTACACTTGCATTAGAGAATAAAGCAAAAGAAAGCATTTCCCAAGAATTGTATTCACATATTACAAATGTCTTTCCAATCATCCTTTAATCTTTTTCTTACTTAGACAATTATCTTCTAAAATAGGTGTTTTGTTTCAAGGCTATAATCCAGGGCTTAACACAGGACAACAAAAGCCTGTAAGGCTTTGAACTTGCTATTTTATAATCTTCAGTCACAACAATTTATATTTAGTGTATTCCCAATATTCTTAAACCATAGGTAGAGTCAGTGCAAAGTGTAATAAAAAAGTATTTTAAAATGGCTACACAGATACACATATATGGTTTGATAGAAGAAATAAGACCTAGTGTTTAATAGATCAGTAAGATGTCTATAGTGTACAATGTTCTATTTTACATACATATCAGAATAGCTAGAAGAGAATAATTTGAATGTTTCCAGCATTAAAAAAAATACAAATATTTAAGGTGATAGATATCCCAAGTACACTTATTTGATCTTTATGAAGATCAAAACCATGAGTTAAATGTGATAATTTACTGTGTTCATACTATGCATCAGTAAAAAATTTGTTTAAAAAATTATGACAAAGAATGGGATATCTGATGAGTATTTTTCTCATAATCCTTCTCTATCATACCTTGAGTTTAAGAATTTTCTTTTTAAAAAAATATTTAAATGTTTAATTTTATGATAATTTTAGATTTCCAAGAAAGTCACAAAAAATAATAGAATTTCAGCATACTCCTCATCCAGTTTTCTCCATTATTAATGTATTACTAGAGTACAGTTGTCAAAAGTAAGAAACTGACATTAGTTCATTGCCAATTATTAACTCAGCCCCAGACTTTATTAGGAGTTTACTTATTTTTCCATTAACGTCCTCTCTGCATTCCACAGTTCAATCCAGGGGACTATGTTGCATTTAGTTGTTATGTGTCTCCAGTTTTCTGGTCTGTGATAGTTTCTTAGTCTTTCTTTCTTTTTCATGACCTTGACAGTCTTGGGTAGTACTATACAGGTATTCTGCAGAATGTCCCCCAATCTTGGTTTTTTTGTCTGATGATTTTCTCATGATTAGATCAAGGTTATGGATTTGTAGGATACCACAAAGAGAAAGTGCCCTTTTCATAACATCCTATCATGGGGTATATAATAGCCACATGACATCATGGATGATATTAACCTTCAACACTTGGTTAGTGTTTGCTAGGCTTCTCCACTGTGAAGTTAGCATTTTTCCCTTTCAAAGTAAGTTAGTAAATCTAATCTACCCTCTGATGAGAGAGAACAGGAATTAACCTCTTTCTCCAGGGGATACTAAAATATACATAACATAAAATTTACCATTTTAACCATTTTTAAGTGTATGGTTCATATTGTTGTATAACCATCACCACCACCCATCTCTAGAACTGTTTCTTTGTCTCCACTGAAACCCTGCACTCATAAAACACTTAACTGTAGGCGGAGGATGGCAGATCATCTGAGGTTGGGAGTTTGAGACCAGCCTGACCAACATAGAGAAACCCTGTCTCTACTAAAAACACAAAATTAGCTAGGTGTTGGTGCCTGCCTGTAATCCCAGCTACTCAGGAAGCTGAGGCAGGAGAATTGCTTGAACTCAGGGGGCAGAGGTTGTGGTGAGCCAAGATCGCCCCATTGCACTCCAGCCTGGGCAACAAAGAATGAAACTTCATTTCAAAACAAAGCAACAAAACAAAAACAAACTTAATAATAAAGGGAATTCTTATATGTAAATTGTTTGGCATAGTATCTGACAGTATAGAAGGCACACAATAAGTATGAGCTATTCTTAAGTCCTTTTCAATGAGACACTTTAAGATTTTTTTTCCTTCCTTTGTATGAATCAACCTCCAAAAGAGATTCAGTAAAAATGAAAGTGAGTCTGCCGCGTCTGTAATCCCAGCATTTTGAGAGCTGAGGCAGGCAGATCATGAGGTCAACAGATTGAGACCATCCTGGCCAACATGGTGAAATCCCATCTCTACTAAAAAATATAAAAATTAGCTGGGCGTGATGGCGCACACCTGTAGTCCCAGCTACTTGGGAGGCTGAGGCAGGAGAGTCGCTTCAACCTGGTAGGCAGAGATTGTAGTGAGCTGAGATTGCGCCACTGCACTGCAGACTGGCAACAGAGTGAGACTGTCAAATGAATGAATGAATGTGATCATTTAGGCTTGCCCTTAATGTAAATGTCTTTTATAAAAATTTGTTAGAGGGCCAGGCACGTTGCCTCATACCTATAATCCCAGCACTTTGGGAGGCTGAGGTGGGTGGATCACAAGAGGTCGAGAGTTCGAGACCAGACTGGCCAACATGGTGAAACTCCATATCTACTAAAAATATAAAAAATTAGAACAAACAACAACAACAACAACAACACACACACACAAGAAAAATATAAAAATAAATGAAATAAATAATACAAAAATTGCATTTTTACAGTATAATAAAAAAAATCTGTGAGAGGGTGTAGTGGGGAGCACCTGGTCAAGGCCAGGGCCTGGTCCTGGGCTTCTGTAGAGTAACGTCAGCCTCCCTGGCTGGCTTGCTGTGGTCTGGGATCTGGATTTGCCTCTTGCCAGAATCCACACTCATCTTCCACTTTGCTGAAGTGCATGGATCAGCTTGGTGCTAATGTGCATGGTGGTGTGTGCAGGGTGTGCACCTGTAATCCTAGCTACTCGGAAGGCTGAGGCAGGAGAACTGCTTGAACCTGGGAGGCAGAGGTTGCAGTGAGCCAAGATCACTCCATTGGACTCCAACCTGGGCGACATAGTGAGACTCTGTCTAATGTAAAAAATAAACAAGAAAAATTCAGTTGGGAAGGGGAATAATAATTACTGGCTAAAATGGGATTTTTAAGTCAAGCATAGTGGCTCATTCCTGTAATCCCAGCACATTAGGAAGCTGAGGCAGGAGGATTGCTTGAACTAAGGAGTTCAAGACCAGTCTGGACAACATAGTGAAATCACGTCTCTACAAAAAATTTTTAAAAATTAGCTGGGCATAGTGGCACGAGTGTGTACTCCTAGTTACTTGGGAGGCTGAGGCAGGAGGATAGCATGAGCCTGGGAGATTGAAGCTTCAGTGAGCCATGATCATGCCACTGTACTCCAGCCTGGGCAATAGAGTGAGACCGCCATCTGAAAACTAAAATGGGATTTCAGCTTATGTTTGGAAAGGGGAGTAAAAATTGTTGGCTAAAATGTTATTTTAATTATTCTTTATAATAGTTTTTATCACCCACCATGTTTTATAAATAATTGGTTATACTTCATATTCTTGTGTCCATAAACCTTTCTGAATTTTTCTAACATGACTTTTTTCTGGAAGTTAGGACATCATATAGAATAATGTATTCTGGTGGGTGCAGTAGCTCATGCCTATAATCCCAACACTTTGGGAGGCCAGGATCACTGGAGGCCAGGAATTTGAGACTAGCCTAGGTAACATAGTGAGATTCTGTCTCTACAAAAAATTTAAAAATTAGCCGAGTATGGTGGCATGCACTTGTAATCTTAGCTATCAGGGGGCTGAGGCAAGAGGATCACTTGAGCCCAGAAGTTGAAGGCTGTAGTGAGCTATAGCTGTGCCAGCACACTCCAGCATGGACAACAGAGAGAGAACTTGTCTCAAATACAAATAAACAAATAACGTATTGTATATGTTATAGGGTAGAACGGTTACCATTAAGTTGAAGAATGTGAATTTTGAAGTAAAAACTCGTGCGTCTACAGTTTCATCTGTTGTTTCTACTGCAGAAGAAATATTTGCCATTGCTAAGGAGTTGCTAAAAACAGAAATTGATGCTGATTTTCCACATCCCTTAAGATTAAGACTTATGGGTATGACTTTTTATTTTTATTTTGTTTTTCCTTAAATCTGCTAGATTTTCCCAAATAATCAACTATGGGAATACAGGTGGCCCCCAGCTTAACAGTGGTTCAACTTACTGATTTTTCAACTTTGCGATGGTGGGAAAGCTGTATGTTTTCAGTACACTCTCAACTTACAATGTGGTTATGTCCAATTAACCCATCATAAATTGAAAGTATTCTAAGTTGACTTATTATGTTTTCAATTTACAATGGGTTTATCTGGATACAATCCTATTTTAAGTCAAAGAGCACCTGTATTCTCACTTTTATTTCTTAAACCTGTTTAGGAAGTTTTTTCCTTTGCTGCTGCCATTTATCTTAATTATTAGATCCTGATTAGTGAAGCCGTGATCATTAGTTTAATTCCAGTAAGAGCCAATTAAAGTTGTTATTTTCCTTATTAATGAAATTCTTGAGTCCAGGTATGTTTCAAAATTCAAAACTTTTCAGATTTTAGAAAGCAAATTCAGTGCATGTATATTATGTAATACTTCTTTGTGGATCTGGGCAATACCGCCTGTTTAAACACATTAATATTTTGTAGCAAAATAAAATATTCAGAGACTGTAAACATTCTAGTCTCTCATTAATTTAGTCATTAGTTATCACTAGTTTACAGTTTTCAGAACTTTTTGGATTTGGGAATTACAGACAAAGGATTGTGATGAATGAAATCACATCTCCAGCCATTTCATGGTAAAAACTAACAAATAAGCCATGTTTCCAAAGTGAACTGGGTCAAAGTACATATAAGGATCAGCAGTCCAAATGCCCACTTTACTAGTAGGAGTGGGTCACTAGCCATACTTTCATATAAGAAAGATACAGCACACACTTAATAAAGTGTTAAAAGAGCCGGGCTGCGTGCAGTGGCTCATGCCTGTAATCTCAGCACTTTGGGAGGCCAAGGTGGGAGGATTGCCTGAGGTCAGGAGTTCGAGACCAGCCTGGCCAACATAGTGAAACCCTGTCTCTACTAAAAATACAAAAAATTACCTGGGTGTGATGGTGAGCACCTATAATCCCAGCTACTCAGGAGGCTGAGGCAGGAGAATTGCTTGAACCCATGAGGCAGAGGTTTGCAGTGAGCCAAGATCACGCTATTGCACTCCAACCTGAGCAACAAGAGTGAAGCTCCTTCTCAAAAAAAAAAAAAAAAAAAAGCCAAAGAGTAGATGTCTACAGAAGCTTAATTCATACTTGCAAAACTTAGAAGCAAGCAAGATGTCCTTCAGTAGGTGAATGGATAAATAAACTGTGGTACATACAGACAGTGGAATAATATTCAGCACATAAATGAATTATCAAGTCATGAAAAGACATGAATGAAACTTAACTGCCTATTGTTAAGTAAAAGAAGCCAATCTGAAAGAGCTAAATACCGTATGATTCCAACTATATGAGATTCTGGAAAAGGCAAATATAAATACAGTAAAAAATAATTGTCAGGAGTTAGGAGGGAAGGAAGGGATTAATAGGCAAAACACAGGAATTTTAGGGCAATGAAATGATTCTGTATGATTCTATAATGCTACATGTCATTATAAATTTGTCCAGGCACACAGAATGTACACCAAGGGTGAACCCTATGTAAGCTATGGACTTTGAGTGACAATGTTGTGGCAATGTAGGTTTGTAGATTGTAACAAATGTACCATTCTGGTACCACATGTTGATAGTTGGGGTGGAAGGGTATACATGTGTAGGGGAAGGGGATCTACGGGAACTCACTGTACCTTCTGCTTAATTTTTCTGTGAATTTAAAATTCCTCTAAAAAATAAAGTTTATTGAAAAAAAAAAACTAAAGAGTCTGTATAGTTGACTCCAGTTAGTTACATAGTATTTAATGGTATTATGTGTCATATATGAATTAAAGTCCTACATCATCCTGCTAACTCCAAATAGTTAATATTTAATGGTATTCTTTTATAAAGGAAAGTAAATTTTCACTCATAATACCAGCTTTGAAATGTTACTTATTGTTTCTCTCTAGCCAACTTTTTGTATATGTCATAGCATGAGACGAAATGTTTTTATGCATTGTGAGTGAATTGGCTTTGTTGAATTTGAATTTGATTGTGATTGATTTAATTTAGGTGTTCGGATATCTAGTTTTCCCAGTGAAGAAGACAGGAAACACCAACAAAGGAGCATTATTGGCTTTTTACAGGCTGGAAACCAAACCCCATCAGTCAATGGGTGTATACTAGAGAAAACTAACAAAGATAAGTTTGCAAAACCTCTAAAAGTGTCTCATAAGAAGAGTTTCTTTGATAAAAAACGATCAGAAAGGAAATGGAGCCACCAAGATACATTTAAATGTGAAACCGTGAATGAACAAAGTTTACAGACATCACAACCATTCCCAGTTTTAAAGAAGATGAATGAGAATTCGGAAATATCAGAGAATTCAGATAACTGTCAGATATTTACCTGTCCTGTTTGCTTTAGGGCACAAGGATACATCAGTCTGGAAGCCTTTAATAAACATGTAGATGCATGTCTTGATGGACCTTCAATCAGTGAAAACTCTAAAATGTTCTCATGTTCACATGTTTCTGCAACCAAAGTTAACAAGAAAGAAAATGTTTCTTCTTCACTTTATGAGAAGCAAGATGATGAAGCCCATCCAAAAAATAGAGAAATATCTCCAGTAGATTATGTAGATTTAGTAGATACTATAGATAACTCATCTGAAGCAGAAAGCATAGATGCTTTAAGTAATGAGCATAGCAAGGAAGAATGTTCTAGTCTCCCAAGCAAGTCTTTTAATATTGAACACTGTCATCAGAATTCTTGTACTGTTTCATTGGAAAGTGAAGATGTTGGATTAAGTAGACAAGAATCCTGCCAGCCTTATTTATGTAAAGTGGTAACAGGCCAAACACTAGTTTGTCCTGTTTGTAACAGAGAACAAAAGACTTCAGATCTAACCCTGTTCAATGTGCATGTGGATGTTTGCTTAAATAAAAGTGTTATCCAAGAACTAAGAAGGGATAAAGTTAACCCAGTTTATCAACCCAAAGAAAGCTCCAGAAGTACTGGTGAGTATATGGTCATTTTAAACTACATGGTTTTCTAGGAATAAGTTTTATTAAAATTAATGAGATTGTTGTTAAATCTGAAACACACACTATTAAATGGGTAGTTTGTGTATGCTGCTATTTAGGAAAATGTTAGTTATCCTGCCATAGTTTAGAATTACCTCAAGCCTATAGATTGTGAATCTTGGGAAAACTTTGGTTTGATCTTGATTTACTACAGAATGAACTCAAAGGTTTAAGGAGTTGAGTGATCTAATCAAAAAAGAAATTCCTTCAGAGAACTTCTGTGAAGGCATAGTGGTAAATTAACTATAGTTGCATAATAAGAAAGCCTCTTCAACTTGTTTTTTGGTAATGTTGAGTCTACCCAAATTTCACCAATAAAATTAAGTGTAATGCTAATAAAACTAGTAAATTACAAAGAAATTATAGTTTTTGGTGTGTTTACATATGAACTATATACTACCAATGAAGCTATTATCTTTAATCAATGAGTTTTAACTTATTAAATTTTTATACAACTTTTAAATTATTTTATGTTATTCATTATGGAATTTTTTGACTTTTCTTTCCTCTAAAGGTAGCTCAAGTGGAGTACAGAAGACTGTAACAAGAACAAAAAGGTATGGCTAATTTGAGCTTTAATAAAGCTGGCTACAATATGAAAATTCAATTATTTTATAAATTATTAAGTAACAATATTAAAAATGAATTATTTTCTAGAATCTCTTTCTGTATTTTAATTGTGTATTCTTTTTCATTCTAGGCCAGGATTGATGACAAAGTACTCAACATCAAAGAAAATAAAACCAAACAATCCCAAACATACCCTTGATACATTTTTTAAGTAAACATTGAACATTTGATCATTAATTTTTAATTGAAACTTCTTATTTTATAATCAATGAATTTGTTCTTCCCGTTTAAGTTTGCAGATTTATTTAGTGAGGCAAGTGCAATAATCCTTCCTCAGATGATGTTTACTTTTCTAAGAATTTGGAATATGTACTAATTCTTTATATCTTTTTTATAACCATGAGAATTTACTTCTGTTATACATCAATTGGAAATTAATCCTGTTAAGAGATAATTTTTAAAAAGGAAATTAGGAATTAGATCAGAAGATGATTTTTAAAATTATTTTTATACTGACTATAAGAACAGATTTGTAAGGGCTCTCAAAGATTCATGCAAACCTATAGTATCCTAAGGATTTTTTAGCACTTAACTACTTTGTTGGCATTGATCCTAATATCTTTAGATACCTCATGAGCATTCATAATTAAAATTTATCTTAAGTTCTATGAAGAGTATTAACATAACTAGCATAAGTGGTTTTCTTACCTTCAGGAAAAATAACATCATAGTATTATCTGTGTTAAAATCGTTTTTGCTTCAAATATAATTTTTAATTTGGCTTTTCTTATTTAAAATTCTGTTATGAATAAACACTTGAATCACTTTTTAAAATATTTAGTCCAAGATGATTCAAAGTAGTTTTATTTTAATACAGGACTTTTAAATGGCAGTATTTCATTTCTTGTCAGTTATGTTGGTACTTTCTACAAATCTATAAAGAAGAATGAATTGTATAGTCATTTTATTATAGTCTTCAAGAGAAAATGTGTAATTCAAAAGATTAATATATATTAAGACACATTAAGTATCTTAGTTACATTACTATCAACATTTTTGTTAATAGCTGTGAAAGAAGACAGCTTAATAGTAGTTAGCTTAAGTAGTTTCTCAACATACTTTTGTGCTATCAATGAGTTCTTCTCAAAAAATTATTATTTAGGCCTTGCACGGTGGCTCATACCTGTAATCCCAGCACTTTGGGAGGGGAAGGCAGGCAGATTACTTGACAGGTCAGGAGTTCCAGACCAGCCTGGCCAACATGGTAAGACCCTGTCTCTACTAAAAATATTAAAAAAAAAAAAAAAAAAAAATTAGCCAGGCTTGGTGGCACCTGCCTAATCCCAGCTACTCAGATGGCTGAGGCAGGAGAACCATTTGAAACTGGGAGATCCAGGCTGCAGTCAGCCAAGATCTTGCCACTGCACTCTAGCCTGGATGACAGAGTAAGACTCTGTCTCAAAAATAATAATAATAATAATAGTTATTATTTAATTGCAACATGAAATTGGAAGCCATTTTCTGTTACTTCTTTAAGGAACTAAGTCTTCTGTTCTCTTATATTTTTGTTTTCTCTCCCCTTGCTTTTCATATTTTAGCTTATTATCTAAATATATATTTATATAACATAAATACATATTTTATATATTATAATATTTTAGGAATAGCTTAATTAAGAATGTGCAGACTTTGGCAAAGTGATAACTTGACTTTTAATTACTAGATTGTTTAAAGTAAGCTTAATGCCTGTTAGCATGCCAATTCAATCCCATGACTGATGTTGTTATGCACTATGAAAAATACAAAGTTGTAGTGTTATGGTTTTTGATCATGTGATTTACTTATGTAAGTTCTGTACAAATTTAAGTTCAGTGAACACTGATTTAATGTACTGAAAGGTAAATAGTACCATATTCAGTTCTTTTCTGTCTTGCCTTAAGTTTATTTTTATTTTCAGTATTAGAATAAATGCTAAATTATTTTCATTTAAGGATTTATTTAGTCGATGTCATCATTTAGTAATATTTCATAATCATTTGAAATAAAATTTAGAACTTTAATTGATGTGAGATGCTTTTCTTACTTTTCTACTCTTCCTCCCTCTTACACCTTCACTTGTGCTTTCTCTGCCCAGAATTTTCATCACATTCTTTACTACCTATTTTGTCTAGTATATCCAGTCCATTTTCTTTTTAATATAACTTTGATTTGGGGCATTTCAAGAAAATAACAGCAAAACTACGAGGACTGGTAATAAGCATGCATAATCTTACCTACTTGGTGAACCTAATATAAACCTAATCATAAAGAACTACCATATTTGCAATATATGTAACTGGTGAAAAACTAGTATCCAGAATATATAAATGATTCCTGTGAATCAGTAAGAAAAAGACAATCAATAGAAATTTGGACAAAAGACTTTATATTGGCATTTCAAGTGAAAGGAAATCCAAATGACCAAGAAACAGGAAAATATTCCCAGCCATATTAATATTTGGGAAGTAAAAAATAAAACTACAAGGAGGTATCATTACATCCTTACCATATTTACAAAAATGAAATGATCTAATGATACTAAGTTTTGTTGATGATGTCAACTCTTACGTTGAAAACAATCGCTGTGGAAAACTTTGTCCTTTAATAAATTTAAAGATAAACATGCCCAAAGCCCAGCAATTGCACTCTGAGGTATACATCTTTGCAGGTTATCTTTCATTACAGTTATTTTTTTTTCCTGCTAGGACCCTAACTACTACAATGCCTTGGGAACACCACTGAAAATGTACCCTGGGAAGCATGTACAAGAAGGTTCTTCCTAGGAAGGAAGATGCCCCCAAAATTTTTTCTTAATGTTCATAGTAGCACTGCAATAGCCAAAAGTTGGAAGTGAAGCAAATATTCAGCAATGGTAGAATGGTTAAATTCTACTGTGGCATTTATATTAAAACAATAGAATTCTACACAGCGGTGAAAATGAAGGAAATAACTAATCACAACATAGATGAGTATCACAGACATTGTGGAGCAAAAGAAGCAACTTAAAGAAGGATGCCATTAACATAATTCCACTTGTATTAAGTTTAAAACAGTAAAAACTGAACAACTACGTTGTTTTAAGCATTATGTATATGAGATAAAACGATAAAGAAAACCAAGTGTTTTGCTGTCCTCAGAACCAGAATAATGATTTCCTCTGTGGAGAGGTAAGGTAATTTGACTGGGGAGTAGCACCTGGTGATTCTGGGATGCTGGCAGTGTTCCATTTCTTGTCTTGGGTGGTGAGTGCATGGATGTTTACTTTTAAAATACTCTTTATACATATATATTTTACGTATTCTTGTTTATATATGACCTTTATCGTTATAAAAAAAAGGGCAAAAACTGCTTTCATTAAGATGATATTTTCCTCCATCTCTGCAGGCTAGCTAGTTTCAATCGAGAAAAAAAAATACATGTCTCTCTTCTAGTACCTTGCTGAACACAGCAAGAAAGAACCATCCCATGCAAAAGTTTTAGTTTTTCTCCTAAAATTTCCCCTAATCCTACAACCTCAATCAGCATTTGGTCTACTTTCCAAAGACAGCTGTTGACAGTTTGACCAATTGTTTTGTTACTACTTGTGATGGTTAATATGAGTGTCAACTTGATTGGATTAAAGGATGCAGAAGATTGTTCCTGGGTGTGTCTGTGAGGGTGTTGCCAAAGGAGATTAACATTTGAATCAGTGGGCTCAAGAGGCAGATCCGCCCTCCGTCTAGTTTGGCATCATCTAATCAGCTGCCAGCACAGCTAGGATAAAAGCATGCCAAAGACTGTGATAATGCCTAGCTTTATACATGTTTTATTATTATACTGTGTCCTTTTGGAGTGGCTTGGAAGTATCTGGAAGAAGGCTTAAAATATGACTATTCACCTGGGGCTAAAAAAAAAACAAACAATTTTTTGAAAAAAAAACAAAAAACTATTTTTTGAGGAAATATTCCATTAAAAAAAATCATACCTGGTGTAGCTGGTGCTGAACTGTTGATTTTAGAGAAAAGGTCTTGCTGTCATCCAGGCTGGAATGCAGTGTCATGGTTATAACTCACTGCAGCCTGGAACTCTTGGGCTGACACGGTCCTCTCATCTCAGCCTCCCGAGTAGCTGGGACTACAGGCTGTTGCCCCGATGCCCAGCTAATTTTTTTGTATTTTTTTGTTGTTGTTGAGATAGGATCTTGCTATGTGGCCTAGATTGTTCTTGAACTTCTGGCTTCAAGCAGTCCTCTTCCTCAGCCTCCCAAAGCTTTGGGATTACAGGTGCGAGCCACCACTCCTGGCCCTGGTACTGAATTTTCTTTGAAGTAATGTTCCGTCTTGAAAAGCAGCAATATATTTGAACACACTTTGTGTTGGTAGGATTTTAGTAAACTTCACAGAGAGGTGATGTTTATTCCCCTGGAGCAAAAACTAACTGTTCTTTCATTGTATAATTAAGGAAATCACTTGCTTTGTAATACATAGCTGAATTAACTCAAGAAAAACTCAAATGACATTATGGTGAGTATTGGAAACATGATTCCATTTATTAAGCAAACCATAATATTGAACTGTTCCCCTTACTAATATGAGGTAATTGTGACACTCTTATTTTGTAACTGCTGCTGTCTACAGAATGCTCAGGGAGATAAAAGATAATTGAGAGACAAATGGTACTAACCCTTTTCTTCTAACTTCAGTCTCTAAAGTGTATTATGATTTCAAACTCATTCCTCTATACACACACACACACATACTACCTCTGCTAACCACATACCTATCATTGAGTTCTGTCTACTCTTGTAGGACCTCTTGAAAACACTTCTTTCCATTTCTTTTATCAGGTTCTTAACAGTTGTCTAGTATCTGGCCTTCTAACTCATAGCTTAACTTTCGCTAGTTTCTTTCCCTGCTCTAGATCGTCTCGTGCATTTTTATAGACAATACTTTCCTAATATCACTCATGTTGTTGGGTGTATGTGGAGAGAGGCAGAGAGAGATTCCCTAAATTAGAGACAAAAAGGGGGAATAAAAGGTGGGTCAGTTCTGGAATCAAATCTAGTTTTCTTTTATGAAGGTTCAAAAGCTTTTTCTCTCCTAGAATATGCTAAACTTCAAATGTGATCTCTGAAACTGTCACAAGCGTGAGATGCGCCAAGGTTTTTTGTTTTTTGCTAGCAATTCTGGGCAGAGATCCTGGTTGTCCTTCAACATTCTACTTTTCTGTTATATTATTAGAATTTTAGCTAGGCACATGATCACCCAGAATAGACTACTGTATTTCGTCAATTCTTTATTTTATAAAGCACTAAGAAATAATACCTAAGATAGGGAGTCTAATAGGTTACCACTGCATAAATATGGGACACCAAGGCTTCTACCTTAAGAGCAAGAATAAAGAAGAAAGAGGGAGCAAAGCAACTTGGCATGCTCAACCTTGGCACTGGTTGGAAGGAGGAACTTTTAAACCACAAGCCATTACACATGTAGGCTTGTAATCTGAATTCATACAAATGGTATGATCCTAAAGAGCTCAAGCAGAAAATGTAATTAAAGTATTGTCCCTAGTGACTGGCAGAAGCATATGCAAATCCTTTCTGGCAGAACTCAACTTCAATTCAGGCAGACAATTTAGAATCTCAATTAAAGAGATGTGATAATGTGAAAAGTGGGTGTTACAGAATTGATGACCACAATGTATCTCCCATCCTTCCAGCTCACACCCTCCCAGCTAGGGTTAGCCATGTGACTGAGTTTCGACTAATGGGATATAAAAGGAAGTACTGGCCAGGTGTGGTGACTCATGCCTGTAATCTCAGCACTGGAAGCCTGAGGCAGTGGATCATCTGAGGTCAGGAGTTCAAGACCAGCCTGGCCAAGAAGGCAAAACCCTGTCTACTAAAATACAAAAAGTTGCTGGGCATAGTGACACACACCTGTGATCCCAGCTACTCAGGAGGCTGAGGCAAGAAAATCACTTGAACAGGGGAGGTGGAGTTTGCAGTGAGCTAAGATTGCGCCACTGCACTCCAGCCTGGGTGACAAAGCGAAACCTTATCTCAAAAAAAAAAACAGAAGTACTATGTGTGGTTGCTTCTGGGAACCTTCCTTTCTGGCAGCTGTAAAGGAAACTTTGAGGTTAAGGGTGGTTTTCTGTTATAATAAATAATATTTCCTCATGTTTGTTTTTTCATTGATAAGGAAACATTGTTTTGAATTTAATGCCTCTTTGCCTCTTCTTTCTATTTCTCCGTTCCATCCTGCTGCCTGGAAGCAGAAGCTGCCATTTATACCTGAGCATAAGGGTTGCACATGTGGATGGTGGAGTAGAGGGCTGCAGGGGCTGATTCCTGCGGGCTTTGTAAAACAGAGACGTTTTATCAGCACTGGCCTGCACACTTTCAGACTTTCACAAGAAACAAAAACTTTGTTTAAGCCATAGTTATTTGGGTTTTCCTATTAATTATAGTTAAATCCTAGTTGATATAGGACATAAAGAGATTATTAAGACATGTTTGTCCTCAAAAAATGGAGAGCCAGTCCAGGAACAGTTTGCATTCAATATAGGGAGGGCTATAATCAGTGAATATACAAAGTGGGAATCTAGAGAAAAATCTAGGAAGATGTTTTTTAAAAATATGGGATCCTTGAACAGGACATGAATTTAAAGGTTTACTTTAGAATTGAAGGTATTTGTTTAGACCTTCCTTTAGGGGAGAAACTAAAGCTTTCAGGACTTGAAGACAAGTTACTGTTCACATGGCTAAATTGCATTCCATATTTATTTGACAAATACTTATTGCAAGTCTGGTACTGTTTTAGCCACTGGAGATGCAATAAGAAGCTTTTTTTTTTTTTTTTTAAAGACAGAGTCTTGCTCTGTCACCAAGGTTGGAGTGCAGTGACATGATGATCAGAGCTCACTGCAGCCTTGACCTCCTTGGCTCAGGCCATCCTTCCATCTCAGCTTCCCAAGTAGCTAAGACGACAGGTGTGCACCACCACCCCTAGCTAATTTTTAAATTTTTTTGTGGAGATGGGAGTCTCACTATGTTGCCCAAGTTGGTCTTGAACTCCCCATCCTCAAGCCATCCTCCCACCTTGGCCTCTCAAATTGCTGGGCTAACAAGCCTGAGCCATCACGCTTGGCCAACAAACTTTTAAAAATCACTGTTTTCATGAATTTTACATTCTAGTTGGGGAAACAGACACTAAACAGACATTTCAGTGGTAAGTGCTACAAAGGAAAGAGCAGCGTAAGGGTATGGGACATGAAGGTAGGGGAGACTTTTAGAATAGGATGATCTGGGAAGGCTCCTCTGAGGAAGTGACATTTAACCTGAAATGTTAATGATACGAAAGATCAAACGATTCAAAAAATTCAGAAGTGAAGGTGGGGGAGAGAGGTTCTAGGCAAAGGGAAATAGAAGCTGGATGGCTTCAACCAGGAAACACTGGATGAAGGATGGAGAATTGTAGGGCCCAAGATCAGAGAGATGAGTAGGGCCAGATCATGTGAGCAAGCTTTCATGTTTTAGCATATTTAGAATTAATCTTCTACTTGAGAACTAACCTGATATTAGAAACAGAGTGAAAAAGAAACTATCTCCCACAGTATACTTCACAGCTTCTCATCTAGCCAAAGCTCTCAGGGAAATTAAGTCGAGCTATGGCTAAGTTTCACATAATGCACTGCTTTGGGGTTTTCATCTCATCTGTTAGAATAAGTTAAGTACCACATCATATTATAAAGCTATGTAACATAAAATGATGGTGCATTTTCTCCTGTCATTGATAAGAGAATTTTTTTAAAAATGAATTTTTGGTTTAGAGTTTGAAAACAATTTCAAACTTGGATAACCCAATCAGATCTTTTTTTTTTCTTTTTTTTTTTTTTTGAAATAGAGTCTGGCTCTGTCACCCAGACTGGTGCGCAGTGGCACAATCTTGGCTCATTGCAACCTCTGCCTCCCAGGCTGAAGCCATCCTTTTCACCTCAGCCTCCTGAGTAGCTGGGACTACAGGCATGCACCACCATGCCTGGCTAACTTTTGTATTTTTTGTAGTGGGTTTCGGAGGGTGGGTGTCTCACTTTGTTGCCCAGACTGGGAGATCTTTCTGTACTTAACTGTATGCTTTCCATTGGTCTGGTGCTGTTTTCACTATTATTCCTTCTTTTGTGTGGGTATTTTCCTCTGATTTTTAGAATTTTAGTTGTGAACATGCTACACAAACACATAATTTGTACCCTGTTCTTCCATTTACATATTATACTTTCCATATTAGTACATTGTCTGATATTGCCACATAATACTCAATTCAACCTATCTGCTATTGTTTTTATCATATCCCTATTACAAACATTGGGCCTATTTCACTTTTTTAAAAAGGGAAAGTTTGAGGTTACAGGTGATGTTCTGATACAATAAATAATATTTTGTCATGTTTGTTTTTTCATTGATAAGGAAACATGGTGTATTTAAATACACAAAATATTGATCGGCCATTATTAATACCCATTTTTAGAATAAACCTACGTTCCCATTCTCTCTCCCTCTTTTTCTTCCTTTCTTCCTCTCCTTCACTCCTTTTTTTTTTCTTTCTTTCTTTCTTAAAAAAAAGTACTGGGAAGTGTTCTGGGAGTTTTCACCATCCTGTGCTCTAATCATATCCTAATAGTTACTGATTTGAAAGTGGTACGCTGGGTTACATACATAAATATCACTAGAAAGAAATGATTCTTATGGTAAATTCACAAAAGGATTGCTTTTGGATTATAATTTGGCATCATGTGAGTTTGCCTATCATGGGTTTGTTTCTGAGAATGTGATCACGTCAAGGTGCCCTCACAAAGTTGATCCTCTCCAACCTGAAAAAATTGGAAGCCCTTGACTTGGCTTCTTCACCTAACTACTGAGTGGCCCAATCGGCAGGTCTCCTTTCCTGGCATGGTGCTGTAACCTGCCCACCTGAGATCTCTCCCACTACTTTCTTAAAAAAAAAAAAAAAAAGATAAGGAAACATTGTTTTGAATTTAATGCCTCAAATGTGGTGCACAATAATTTGAAGAAAAACACTGCCAAGTTTGAAATTAACATTCGTATTAGGTAATTTACATTAAAATGATGCCTCTTTTGTAAATTTGTAAGCATACAAAATAAGTGAAAACCTGATTATCTTTCTTGAAGTTTATTTGGGGGAGGGGTCAGAATTTCACTTGCTTCTGTATTATTTCACTTTTCGAAAGAATCCGCCAGGCAAGATTATAATTGCATGGTCTTCAAATGAGAAATTTAGTCGAAAGAAAATGTTGGAAGCCCATTTAGAAATGATTTAATATTGAAGTTCCAATAGTGTTGGTTATAAATTCAACCTTGACATTTCTCAAAATTGTGGAAAGAAGTGGTAGAGGAGAGCTGGGAGTTTATTGGAGCTTGTAAATTTCTCAGGATGTTTTATTTCCTGGAGAACCAAACCTTAGCACGCCACACCTGAGGGCGGATTCTCCCAGGCCGGCCCAAGCAAGGGCAGGGAACCAGGGGCTTATTACCCAGCGAATCACAAGAGTGGACTCGGTCCTGTGCTTCGGCCGGGCTCACCTGCCTGCGTCCAGCCCCGCGCCCTGGATCTGGGTCTGAGTCTGGATCTTGTCCTGTGCAACAGGTCCGCGGAGGCGACCATGGACGCCGCCGGCCGCGCCCAGGGCCACGGGGCCACGGCGAGGGGACTGCTGCTCGCAGCGGCTGCGGCCGCCAAAGGGCTCAGGGAAGACCTGAGGGGCGCGGCCGCCCTGCCTTGGAGGGGTCTGTCCCGCCTCCCGAAGCGGGAGGGGCTTGGAGAGGAGGACCCGGCAGTTGCCGGGCACGAGCTCCGTGAGTCCCGGGACGAGGTCTCAGAAAATCAGGTTGCTGGGCGGGCTGGTTCGAAGGGACTTGGGAAGGTACCCAGTGCAGCACCTCCGGTAGCTGCGGGAGGGAAAAACTGACGCGGCGACTCCGCCCTGGGACCCTGAGTCCCGGCCTCCACCGCTGCATTCCCGGTTGGCTGGTTTTCAGCTTTGGAATCCACCCCCACCATGTACTGTGGGTTGAAGGACAGTATTATTCTTCCGAATTAAGGAGGAGGCTTTTAAAAATAATGATTAAGTCCTTTTGCAGATAAGAGTTTCCATGCTCTTATCTCCTATATCGTGACTTTGCGCCGATTTATTGTCTGACTTTAAATAAGTCACTTAACTTTTCTGCACTTAAGTTCTTAAAGCATGGAGTGGATCATCTATGCCCTGGGAATAATGTATAGAATAAACTGAGGCAGCTGTTAAACAGTTCAAAAGTTGAAAGTGATTCAAGACTCTTTCTCTCCCCACTCCCTCCACCCCGCCACCCTTCCCCAGCAGGGTCTTGCTGTGTTGCACAGGCTGGAATGCAGTAGTGCAATCACAGACCTCCTCAGGCTCAGATGATTCTGCCACCTCAACCTTCCCAGGACTCAAGTCTCTAGACGGGGCACACCATCCAAGTCTGAGAGCTGGGATGGCCTTATTTCCTAAACCAGGCTTGGAAACTGTACACCAATTCCTCAATTATAATGTTCATTCAGTCGTTCTAGGAATATTTTCAAGGGCTTAACTATTTGCTAGGCATGTTCTAGATGTAGGGATGGAGAGAAAAAGACAACCCCTGTTCTGGTGGAACATTCTGTTGTGGTGGAGGGGAAATAGACAATAAGATAAGTACGGAAATAAATGAATAAGATAATTTAAGGTAATAGTGCTGTGAAGGCTATGAGACAGGGTGATGTGGTTGGACTCAGGCTGCCTGGGACAGTTCTATCACTTATAAACATGAGCAAGTGGTGTAAATTTTGAAAATCGCAGTTTCCTCATTTGTATGAAGGGAATCGTGCCTACATCATCAGGTTATTTGTTTTATATAAAACCTAGGGCATTCTAATATTTGGAGGTCAAGCAAAGGAAAAAGAGCCAGTAAAAAAGACTGTAAAGCAACAAGTGGTTTACGAGACCACTAGAGAAGAACATGTGACAAGGAGTGTGTTCCTTTGCGTCCCAATTGCCAAGAGCTCAATGCACGTGACAGAGGCGTGATGAGTGGGTTTTGGCAAGACGGAGTGACCTCAACGAGAGCAGTTTTAGTGGAGGAGTGAGAAAGATGTCTGATTAGCATGGGTTGAGACAAGACTGTGAGATGAAGAAATGGAGACAACAATTATAGAATACTTAAGTTTGGGATAATGGAAAGTTGAAAAATGCAGCAGCAGTTGAAAGGAAGCTGGGGTCAAGGGAGGGTTTTTTACACTTATGGGATTATGGCAGCTCCATATTTTTTGAGGGGAGTTATCTACTGGAGATAGATTAGGTGATCTAGAGGAAAGAAGAGATAATTTCCAGGAGATTGACATATGAAACACTTGAAAAGATAAGAGGGAAAGGAATCCAGAGCCCAGGTGTAGAGGTTGGCCTTTCCTAGGCACAGGGATGCTTCATCCTGTCTGTATAAATGAAGGTAGGTTGGTTGACTCGCCTAGGTGGGAAGATGTGGGGATTTGTGTCCTGCTTCATCCTGTCTGTATAAATGAAGGTAGGTTGGTTGACTCGCCTAGGTGGGAAGATGTGGGGATTTGTGTCCTATTACTTCTGTTTTCACTATGAGGCAACGGTATTAACTGAGAATTAGGTGATGGTAGTGGGAGGAAGTAAATTAGGTAGATTAGTAAATTCAGATATTTGAGGAGAAAGGAAAGGATGTGACATGCTGAAGAAGGGAAGACTAGGGAAATGCAGAGGCTAGCTAGCAGTGCTGAGATTAGTCAGGAAGAATTTAAGAGACCTGTAAGCATGTGTATCAGTCAGGACAAAGTAAGCTTTTCCTGCAGCAATAAATGACTCTTACGTCTCAGTGACTGAACATTAAAAACAATCTATTTCTGCCCGGATGTGGTGGTTTACACCTGTAATCCCAGCACTTTGGGGAGGCCCAGGTGGGAGGATCACTTGAGGCCAGGAGTTCAAGACCAGCCTGGGCAATATAATGAGACCCTCCATCTCTACATTTAAAAGAAAAATCTATTTCTTGCTTATATGGCATGTCCAAAATAGGTTGGAGAGGGTCTCTCATCTTCTTAGTCTCTCAGGAACCCAGGTGTCAAGGATCACAAGGGACTGAGATTTTATCCTACTTGTAATATCACAAGTTAGCTTACTAGGAGATAGAGATGCTGGCAGAAGACACTTTTGGATTAGAGATGATGGATTTCATTACTCACAGCAGTAGCAGTAACCAGAGTATTAGCATTTGTGTCAGTTCTCCAAGCCCCAATTCCTACAGGGAGATGTAAAGAATGCCAAATGACACGTGCATACACAGTGGGTTGTGCTACAGAAAAATCCTGCGCTTACGGAAACCAAAACTTTTGTAATAGTCAGTAAGCATGCTTATCATTGCTTTCTTGAAAGGCTGCAAGCAGACCTGCCCTTTGCTCCAGAGGAAGATATTATCTCTATTTTCAAAGGCTTTTCACTATAAAAACATCCTTGAAAAGATAGTAAAGAAAGCCAGTCAATGCTTTTGCTTAGAAGATGTGAAGAAATGTGACAGACCCAGGGAGAACTGTCTCCCAATACGAAGTTGATGGAGGTACCACTATCTTGTGACCCCTTTCATTTATACACATGACTTCCAGGGTTAAGACAAGAAAAAGAGACCTGGAGGGTGACAGGCTTTTCACTGACTCAGCCTCAAAGTGACATGCCATCACTTCTGCTTTTAGTCCATTGGATACATCTCATCTAGCTGTATCCAGGCTGGGATATGGGCTAACCCATGTGACCAGGTAGAAGAGAAGAAGCAGATATTGATGAACACTAGCAATGTCTACCACACCATGGCTGTGTGGTTTTTCTCCAGTACCATTTAGCTGTTCAGATACAGAAATAAAGCAAGTAGCAGTTGGATTTGGTCTCAGAATTAGGATCCTGACCAACTAGTCTAATGGAGGAAAAGATTGGTGAGGGAGGTAAGTGTTTGCATAGAAGTGATTTCATAGATGGACCATGTGGTATGGTCTGAATGTGTGAAGTAAATCTCTGTTCTTGTTAAATTACTCAGAGTCAGGTATTTTGTTATAGCAGCAAAAACAGACTGGCACCATGGACTCTAAACATGGTAAGGAGAGAAATAAGGATATAGGGATGAAGAATATGAAAAGGGGTTAGAACTGTGTATTGGAGGACTTAATAAGGTTGCAGAATTTCTAGACTTGGAGAACTAGAGCAGCTGAGCTAAATGGCTGAGAAGTTGTGGTCAAAGAACAGGATTCTGGAAGTCAAGATTTCAGAGGTAGTACAGTTTGAGTGATAATTAGTTCAGGAATGTGCCTCTGAAATTGGATGGCTGAGGTCAGATCTGGGGAAGATGATTACAGGTGACAGAGTCAGGAAACTAAGAGGCAAAGGTGTTGGATTAATCATCTATGAGGAGGTCAAAGTCACCTAGAATAGTGACAAGAGTGGGGGAAGGAAGGAAGGAAAGAACCAAGTAATAGAAAGAATGAACATATGAATCTATATGAGTCTGCTCAGACGGTCATGACAAAGTACGGCAGACTGGATGGCTCAAACCACAGACACTTATTTTCTCACAGTTGTGGAGGCTGTAAGTCCAAGATCAAGATGTTGGGAAACTTGGTTTCTTCTTAGGCCTCTCTCCTTGGCTTGTAGATAGCCACCTTCTCCCTACTTTCACCCAGTCTTCCCTGTATCTGTGTGTGTGTGTGTGTGTCCTAATCTCTCTTCTTATAGGGACGCCAATCATATCAGATTGAAGCCCCCTCATATCGCCTCATTTTACCTTGATTACCTCTTTAAAGGCTTTATCTCCAAATATAGGCAACATTCTGAGGTACTCATGAAGCAGGAAAGGTGAGACACAAACCTTTTGAACACCCAACTGGAGAAGGAAGTGGCTTTTTATTTGGCTGGGAGCTGCGGGGGTGGGGGGCTACAGCCTCATTTACCATGCTCCCTGAGAAGCAGCTTCTTTCCCCTTTTATAGGCTTACAATGCTAAAGGAGAAACTGAGGTGAAACTATGTCATTGTCCATTGGCTGGACAACTGACCTTACAATCTTTGGCTTCATTGATTTGCTAGTTCATATGCAGCGTGAGCAGAAACAAGCAGGGGAAGGGTCTCCCCTCTGACTTGGGATTAGGACTTCAACATAAAAATTTTGGAGAAACACAATTCAGCCCATGACAATATTTCCCAAGAAGATACTCCTTGGGCTTTGATTGGACTTGGCAGTGTTCTGAAAGGTCTTTGCTTCAGCAAAAATTTGGGGAACATTGAATGTCATGATGGTATCATTTAAAAAAACCCTTGGGAAACTACTCAGCAACACATCTACAAAAACCTCTCTTATGAGCCTTTCTCTTTGGAGATGGTCTGTAGTTGACTCCTACTTAACCTCAATTCTGGTATTATCCCCTGATGCTGGGCAGTCCTCTGAGAGCCCTCTACTCCCCTACATAACAAAAAACTCAAATCCTATAATCTTCTCTATGATAGTTAATAAAGCCTATCATCTGAATGTGTATATGTGTGTGAAATGTGATGTTTATAGTAGATGTGAATCTACTTTTATGTCTTTTTATATAAATGAGAATAAAACATTCTCATCCCATTTACCTTTGTGTCTGTATGTATGACGGGCTGCATTTTGCAATTTTGTTCATGCAGGCCTGATGTCTGTATGGAGTTCAGAAGACAACAGTTTTATCTTTGGATGGAGCATTTGGACCCCTCCCTGTCTAATCTTGTACAAGGCTTTTTACAAACAATGCCCCCTGGGAAGTCTATGGCCACCTTCTGACCTTCTAGGCCAGATACCACAATGCTGACTTCAGGGTGGTCCTCATGAATAATGTTGTGTTTGGGGCCAGGAACATTTTTAAGGGTGTGGAAACCCTTGCAGCATGAGGATAAAGTGGAATCTTGATACTACAGTTTTATAAGAAACTGAAGCAAAGTTCCCGTGTCCTAAATGAAATAGCAAAATGTGAAAGACTCAAGGCTGTTGTTTCATTTCAAGGCTGTTGTTACAAGGTTTGCCCTATGAAATATGCTTTCTCTTTGGCCTCCTTCAATTCCCTCAGTCATGCTTGCTTGCTTGCTTTCAGTACTGCCAAATGAAAGAAGCTTTCAGAATGCTGCTAAAAGCAATAATTTGGATCTTATGGAGAAGCTGTTTGAAAAGAAGGTTAACATTAATGCTGTGAACAATGTGAGTAGAAGTCATAAATATGGCAAGTAACTACTCCAGTGATGGCTTGGGTTATATGGGACACCTGAAATAATAACAAAAATAAAAATCATGGTGCTGGCTGAGATAAGGGAGCTCTTCCAGGGTGTTTAAGCTAAAAAGTGGAGTCAAACAGTGGAAGAGGCTCTGGGTGTTTTAATTTCTCTTACAAGAGGGGGAGTGCACAGAATCTTCATGCATATCTATGCAAAGTCTGTGGGTGGGCGGTAAAGCCAGCTGTCAGGGTTACAGGCCTGGACTTGGTCCTGGATTGTCGCCTGTGGTTCAGTTTGGCCTCACACATTCTGGAAAGGCAGAACATTTTTTGCTATATAATCTGGGTTGTTTTCTTGCCAATGATGTCCTTTGTGGTTCTGTTTCTCCAAATTTAAAATCTAAAGGCATGTGTGGATTTTCATTGTACTGGTTTTGAAATGTAGTGCATCTACCTCTTGGGCAATGAGACCTTATCTAAAACCTGGCTCTTACTTGTTCTTTAAGTGCCTGGGTTTTAGCAGAAGGAAAGTCCACTGCCATAAATTTGGATTCTCTGCTACTTCCTTTTGTGAGGATTTTCTGATAGTCCTTTGAGGCCAGGTATATCAAAGTGAAGGTTGAAGGCTGTGTCAATTGCTTAGGACAATTTGTGGAGTGGTTTGAGGTGGGTGTGGCAGAGGTGGATTTAATGGTAAATGAAGCGGAAGCTTCAGGGCCCTTGCTTGCACAGTCCCCTTGTAAGGCACTGAGAGGACTCTAGTAACATGTTCCTATGACTGTATAACTTTGTAAAATCTGAAAAAGGTAGGGCATTTAACTGCAATTAGTTAAGCTTTCTGACTCTGGCTTCAAAGAGGATTACTAAATTGTCTAAACTCCGGTTCCACAAAACCTATGTCTGTCCCAGGAAGTAAGGTCCTAGAAACTGAAGCTGCAGTATCTGAAATCATGTAGCATGTGCAGTGGAAGAATGTTGTGCATGTGGGGGGTGGTTTGTGCTTATGTGTGGGGATGAGTGTGGGGACTGCTATTTCTGTGTGTATAATGCGTGTGTGTGATGTGTTATGGGTGTATATAGTGTTCATGTTCCATAGATATCTTAGAATAGGAAAACAACAAAATTTTGTAGCATAACAATTTTAGGGACAAAAAGAAAAAAAACAAATCAAGAAAGCAAGGAAGAGCAAAAAGAGGAAAAATGCAAAGGAGGGAAAAGAAAAGAAATAAGTAAGTCTCTTTGATGGGAATATTTGCATAGTTTTAAAATTTTTTATGGATAGATATCTTTGAAGATTATTGTGACCATGGAAGGTTAATTGTGGGAGTAAGTGAAGCAAAAATCACTTTTCCAAGTAGCAGGAAATAGATTCTCCAGTATATTATTTAAACCATTTAACATTTCTTCATATATAGCTTTCTGTTATTTTAAACATTTTTAAAAGTTGATTAAAATACTTAGAGAGATAGTACAATCTAATACACTTTAACTTACAGTGTGGCAAATTATTATAAACTAATGAATTGTATTATACTTTCTAATGATATCTGTTTACTGTTTACACCAAATTGTTGACATGGATACTTGTAGAGTTCCTTAAAATCTGTGATGATGGAGATTTAAAAAATATAAATAATTTTACTGAATTATTTTGGGTGCAATTTTGGCTTACATCCTTATTCACAAATAATAGTGGGGCTTATAAACCCAAAGTTGACATAGTGGAGCCATATAACTCATGGGTTTTTTTGTTTTTTGTATTTTGTTGTTTTTTGAGACTGAGTCTTGATGTGTTGCCAGGCTGGAGTGCTGTTGTGCAATCTTGGCTCCCTGCAACCTCCAGCTCCCGTGTTCAAGCAATTCTCCTGCCTCAGCCTCCCTAGTGACTGGGATTACAGATGTGCACCACCATGCATGGCTAATTTTTGTATTTATACTAGTTACAGGGTTTCACCATGTTGGCCAGGCTGGTCTCGAACTCCTGACCTCAGGTGATCTGCCGACCTTGGCCTCCCAAAGTGCTGGGATTACAGGCATGAGCCGCCATGCCCAGCCATAGCTCATGTTTGGCGAAACTTATTTTATCACTGGGTTAGCTACTGTGAAAGTTTTCAGAATCAAAATGAGGTCACCAATATTAAGAAAACCTTGACAAACAGAACTGGGGAAGGCCATGAAGACAGGGTTCTCATGCTTGTATACTTGATAACAAAACTATCACAAAAGACTACAAACCCACAACCTTGCACAAAGGTCATCACAGCCTTGCACAAAAAATACTTCTGCAAGGACGTCTGCCCAGCAACTGCCTTTCTAATCTCAGACTGGCGTCAGCTGGTTGTTGAACTTTGTAGCAAAGGATAATTATTTCAAAACAATTATGTAATCCTCCTCATTTTTTTCCTTTAAAAAGCTTTGTCTTCTTTTACTTTTCTAAATACACACATAGTTTGCTATAATATGCATATTTCTGTTGCAATGCTTTATTCCCAAATAAATATCTTTCCTTTTGAAAGTCTCTCTTACTATTTAGGTTGACGCTACCAAAAAAAATCAAATATTTAAACAGTTCTCATTTTTTAAAATTGCTTATGTGGAACAAAGAATAGTAAAGCCATGCCCAGACATCTTCTTTGGGAGAAAAAAACAGTGTCTAGAATATGAGAAATGTGACACATATCACTTCCAAGCAAAACTTCCATTTTGGAAATGGATTAGACTGTCTATGGGCATCCCAGGAGCACCATGTTGACTTTCCTTTGGAGCAAAAGATAGTCATAGCTTTCTTTCTCTGCCTTTCTCTTTCTTTCCTTCCTCCTTTCCTTGCTCCTTTTATTCCTTCCTCCCTTCCTTCTTCCTTTTAAAAGGAATTTATTTGCTTCAGTAAAATTTATAGTTCAAACACTTACAGAAGAACAAACATGAATGGATTGAACCTCTAGGTAAATTTTTGCTATGCATTATTAATATATTCTAAGCAGAAACTTTTACCATTATTAATGATTGCACTAGGAGGGAATGCAACTTTTACTTTCTAGGCAAAACCCCTTATAGTGCTACAATATAATGTTACAATATAATATATTTAAGCTGAAACAAGAATTTCAGCTTGAGGTGTGTCCTTCAGTGGATTGGCAAATTCTCTGATGTTATCTCATAATGAAGGCAGAATTCCGCTGGACACACTTCTCATAACTTTCAAAGGTAAAGAGTGGAGCCAAACTATCAAAATAGAAACACTTGATAGAAGAGTATGGCCATTCAGGAAACAGGAAACCTAAAAAGGGTAAATAATGATCAGATGACTAAAAACACAAATTATGCTTCCACAGATGAACCGCACAGCCCTGCATTTTGCAGTGGGGAGAAATCATTTATCTGCAGTGGATTTCTTGCTTAAACACAAGGCCAGGGTGGATGTCGCTGATAAGGTAAGCTCGTTTTTATTGAGTAGGACAAGCTGGAGCATAACCAATGGACAGGGAGAACCTGATCACTGCACACATCTTTTCTTCACATACACAAAAAATATTTTAATTAGGAGTACTCATTTTGGACAGGTCTCTTTAGAGAATATACACATAGCTGCTCTTTGTATTTGGGAACTAAATTGTTTACCCATTACTTATGGGACTTGGGGTTTTGCTTATTTTCTCATTTTGACCTTATGGCCAATAGTATGCATTTATAAAAAGAAGATCATTGTCCAGAATATAATCTGGGATGTGGAAGAAGCTAATTGGCCTCAGAGACATTAAATATTGACTTTGCCCTATGAACTCTCTGATAATAAATAAGGCTTATTAAGCAGGTACTAGGTGCCAGGCACAAGTTGGAAGACTTTGATAATAATCCTTCCCCTGTAAGAAAAGTATTATTATAGTAACTCATTTACAGATGAGGATCTGAGACAGAGATTAAATATATCCTGTCCAAAAAAATTATGTCTAAGAAGGGTAGAGGCAGGATTCGGACCTAGCCTGTCTGATTCCAGAGACCATGCTGTTAGTGTAACTATTTATCTGCCTAGATTTCAAAGCCCACACTGAGGATTTTCCACCTATTTTTCCCACCTTCATTTAATACTGTACCATGGCACGAGGAAACCAACAGAAGAGACCCAACATCCTGTTCATCATCTCATGTTGCAGAACAAGATGATAGCATTGCTCTAAAGTTCTTGGTTCTTAATTAATACAATGGACCATGATTCTTAAACTGTTCAGAAGATTCCCACTGAACTATTCTCTTTTCTTTCTGGACTGTGACTTCTTGGAGGATAAGGTTCAGCATTTCTTTACCTTCTTATCTCACAAGGTCTGGGTTTAGTATGTACCTTGTACATTTCTGGAAGATAAATGATTGAGGTCATTATACCAATTGGTCATCTTGTTGGTCTTGTTGGCAATCATACACAACACCTAGACTCGACAGTGATGAGAGTTTCTCTTTGTGTCACATTGGGGCACATCTAGTTTATTGCACTGGTATTGGTGGGCAAGTAGTTTGTTATATTGGCAAACCAGAATTTAAAATTGGCACTGAAAGAACTCTGACTGTGAGTGTAACTAGTTGTATTAATGGCTGTAGTAATTAAGGAACATATACTTTAGGACTGGAAATTGTCATTTGGTTAATTTGCAATATTAGCCTACAAAAGACACATTGGTAATAGACAAGATTATCCAAGTGTATTCTTATTTCTACATTGAAAACTTGATATAGTATCCTTTTATTTTACTTTCACTTTTAGATTAATACACTGTACAATTAACTTTCCTTTTTGGTACACAATTCTATGAATTTTTAACACTTTGTATGTGGCCAGGTGCTATGGCTCATGCCTGTAATCCCAGCACTGTGGGAGGTGAGGCAGGTGTATCATTTGAGGTCAGGAGTTCAAGACCAGCTTGGCCAACATGGTGAAGCCCCGTCTCTACTAAAAATACAAAAATTAGCCAAATGTGGTGGTGGGTGCCTATAATCCCATTTACTCAGGAGGCTGAGGCAGGAGAATTGCTTGAACCCGGGAGGTGGAGGCTGCAGTGAGCCAAGATTGTACCACTGCACTTCAGCCTGGGAGACAAAGAGAGACTCTGTCTCAGAAAAACAAACAAATATTTGTATAAATTTGTATAACTATAAATAATCAAAATGCACAACAATTGCATCACCCAAAAATTCCCTCATGACGCTTCTTTGTAACCAACATCTCCCACACTAGCAACCACTGGTCTGTTTTCTGTCTCTGTAGTTTTGCCTTCCTGAGAATGGCACATAAATGATCTTTTGAGACTGGCTTCTGTTACTCAGTGAAATGCGTCTGAAGTTCATTCATAGTTTTGTATGTGTCAATAACTCCTCCCTTTTTATTGTTGAAATTATTCCAGTTTATGGATGTACCATCATTTATTGATCCATTCACCAATTGAAGAACGTTAAGGTGTTTTTTCCCCCAGATTTTGATTATTACAAATATAGCTGCTATAGACATTCATGTATAAGTATTTGTGTAAGCATAAGTTTTCATTTCTCTAGTGTAAATACCTAGGAGTGAGATCACTGGGTCATATAGTAAGTGTTATGTGTAACTTTTACAAAAAGCTGCCAGACTGTTTTTGAGAGTAACTATGTATAGAGAGCCAGAGTAGCCCACCCGCTCTGGGAGCATCAGCAGCAAGGCAGCTGTGACCTTTGGGTAAACTCCAGCAAAGTAAAACCATAGTAGGAAAATGTGTATGTCTCAGAGAAAAACAGAGAGGCCTAGAAAAAGATAACCAGCTCTCACTAACCTTGCTGCAAAATAGTTGTTAGCTAAAGTATGTTAACTGAAGTGTAAGAATTATAATCACAGGCTGTTCTAAGTAACTGCAACCTCCCTCTGCTATATGCTTTGTAAGCATATAAAATAAAGTACTCTAAGGCAGGTCAGGGCTGAAAAGACTAACATCAACAGCTTTTCAGACCCCCTGGCCCAGCTTTCTATGTGTTTGTCTGTGTGTCTTTCTTTATCCCCCACTGTTCCCTCTTAGGTCTTTAAACCCTCGTGCTGCATAAAACGCAGCACATGCCAGAACTATGCCATTTTCACTTCCACCAGCAATGGCATTCCACTTGTCCACATTCTCATCAGCATCTGGTATTGTCGTTTCTCCCCCTTCATTTCAGCCATTCAGATAGGTGTGTCGGCATCTCATTGTGGTTTTAATTTTCATTTCTCTAATAGCTAATGACATTGAACATCTTTTCATGTGTTATTTATCATTTACAGATCTTCTTTGGTGACGTGTTTGTTCAAAAACGTTCTGAGCATTTAAAAAAATTGGATTTTTTGTTTTCTTACTGTTGAGTCCTTTATATATTCTGGATTCAAGTCCTTTGTTAGATACAAATATTTTTTGGTTTGCAAATATTTCTCACAGTCTGTACCCTGTCTTTTCAGTGTTTTTCAAAGAGCAAAAATTTTTAATTTGGATGAAGTACAGTTTACCTATTTGAAAAAAAATGAATCCTGCTTTGGTGTTATATCTAAAAATGACTGCCTAACTCAAGGTCCTGAGATTTCTCATATTTTTCTTCTACAGTTTTTAAACCCTTGTGTTTTATATTAACATCTACGGTCCCCTTCGAGTTAATTGTAGTACATATAAGGTAGAAATAAAGTAGGTTGAGATTCTCTATTCTTTTACTTTTTTTGCCTATGGATGACCTGATCAGTTGTCTCAACACCATTTGACACCAATGTCACTTCCGTTTTCTTTTTCTTTTCTTTTTCATTTTTATTTTTTGAGACAGGGTCTCGCTCTGTTGCCTAGGCTGGAATGCAGTGGCATGATCATGGCTCACTGCAGACTTGACCTCCCGGGCTCAGGCGATCCTTTCACCTCAGCCTCCTGAGTAGCAGGGATTATAGGCATGTGCCAACACGCTCAGCTAATTTTTTTATTTTTGTAGAGATAGGGTCTTGTTATGTTATCTAAGCTATTATTGAACTCCTGGCTGCAAGCAATGCTCCCACCTTAACCTCTCAAAGTGCTGGGATTACAGGTATGAGTCACTGTGCCCAGCCTTTACTTCAGTTTTCAAAACCTGTGTAGTTCTATTAAGATCTGTCCCGTGTGTGTACCATCCAGGGACCAGTCTGAAACCTAGGCAGTGTCTATTCCATAGCTCAGTTCTCCAAGCCTTCATCATGCTGTTTAGCGTCTGTCCATGTACAGCTCGGGTAAGCCCAGCAGCACACACACAACTTCATGCCATCTCTTTCTCAAGCACCATCCTGTCCATGATCAGCTCCCCTTCATTTTCCAGCTCCCGGCCTTCTTTTCCTGGTCATCTGGCTGGAAAGCCAAGGCTGTAGTCTCCCAGCTCTGCTGTGTACTTCCTACAAAAAAGTCTGCCTCCAGGACCAAGTCGGGGAGGGTAATGAGAGAACAAAAGAGACATGGATTCTCCCTGAACCCTGTTTTATGATCACAGTTCCTCTGGTCAGAGAGAAAGATTCTCCTGTGTCAGAGTTTAAGGTGCTTGCCCAGCCACTGTTGTTACCCTACCACTGTCAAATTGTAGCTTTGAGAGTGGGGCTTGGCTTCGAGGAGGGGGCAGGGCCAGTGGAGAAAAATGAAGCAGAGAATTTCCCCTACTTTCTCTGTTCTATGGGGGCTCCCTTCTTCTCCTTAGAACAAGAGAGCTTCTCTTGGAAACCTTTCTGACTGCGCCCAGGGCACAGTTCCATGATTTGTACTGCCTTGAGTCCAAGTTGGAAGGTATGGGAGGAAAAAAAAATAAGGAAAGCCACTGCAGGATTGTTCTTACTTTGAGTTCTGATTTTTTCCCCCAATCCACCTATTACTATTTACAGAGTCCTCAGCTGTTCTATGCATTCTTTCAAAAAAATTTTTAATTTAAAATTTGTGTGACATAGTAGGTGTACATTCCATGCATTCTTTCCAGATATTTTGTTTCAGTGGGAGACACAGAGTGGACTGTGTTAACTTCGTTTCAGCCAGAACCATAACCTCAAATCTTTAACATATCAAAGTAGAGGGAATTTTACAGCAAACACCTATGTATCCAGATTAGATATGTGCCCAGATTAGATTGCATCTTTTCTTTTAAACCGTATATCTGAAGATTGTCATGTTTCTAATATATTAAATATAGGCTAGGTTTGTGTCAGAGTACAAGCCAATTATTCCTGAAATGATGGAGAGATATTTCACCAACTTGTTCTCCCTGAGGTTTTTCTAAACATGTATTTGTATTACCTTGTCTCTGAAGCATGGTTCAGTTTCTCTTAACTTTGCTTGAAGAATGAAATAATGTCAGGTGGGAAATATAGTAATTCCTGGTGTGTCTCTTTTTCCTGCTTTGAAGGTTTACTAAGTTAAATATGTTTATAACTGACTAAACCATCTACAGTGGCATTACTCCATAACTAGTAAAATGTTTTTCATAATTCAAGCAAGGTCATGTTTGATCCAGTTTCTTTATCTGAATTATGAGCCTTGAGTTTGACTTCTTCTAACACTATTTGCAAAGAGCCAACAGTTGATCCCCTTCACCATCAGTATTTATTCAGTGGCCATTGTGGGTAAGTCTCCGTGTCAACTACTGAGAATTCAACTAGACAGAAGTTCTTGCTGTTTAAAGTGTGGTCTCAGGACTTGAAGCATGCACATCACCTCCAAGCTTGTTAGAAATGCAGGATCTCGGGTCCCACCCCAGGCTTGAATCAGAATCTGCAATTAAAAAAAATTTCCAGGTGATTGTTTTTGGGAAGCACTGATACGAGACAAAATCATGGCTTTGCAGGGCGTACAGTCTATCTGGGGAGCAAGGACAAAGACTGTACCAGCTGAGTACCATTCAAGGCACTGCATGCTAGGGACCAAAGTGAGTGGCACCCCTGAGTCCTAGGAAGAGGCAGACTAAATAAATGGAGGCTCTTACTCCAGACAGGAGTAAAGGATCCCAGGTGGGAGTGCAAGTGATGCTCAGAGGATAAAAACATCTGTTCACAGAGCTTCTTATCTCTGGGAAGCTCCTAATATATAAGTGTTCCCCAGAGGAAATTAATGACCTCACTTATGATGAGACTGGCAATGAGGACAGACTGTCACTGATTGGTGGGCAATGTATACTTTACAGAGCTTCGTGAGCCAACCATGAGTGTAATTTATGACACATAGTCTTAAGTAGTCTCACGCATGCCAGTTTCATATCAGAAGAATTTGTTTTATGGAAGTTCTTCTCGGGGAGTTTACATCTGTAAGCCGTGATTCATTGCCTCTGAGGAACAGTGGCTCCGCTCTGAATTTGTGGTGTTAGTTGTTCGCAGCTTGAATTCCCATGTTTTAGATTTTATGATCAGAGCTTGGAATTTTAAAATGTAGGCTGCTTTGAAATTAGGAATGACCTCTTAGGGAAAAAATAGGTCTCCTATCAAAGCGTGATTTGTCACCTGTTTCAAATGTTTCTGGTCTCCTTTATATGTGAAAGCAGATTTAGTATTGCTGAATATAGAGCACTGACTTGTAGGGAAGGCCAAATTAAGAGGTGGAATTGTATTTAGGAAACATGTTTTGAAGAACATCAGGTAGTCAGTCATTGTACATCATTGCTCTTTGGGTCAAAGAGTCCAGAAATGAAGAGCTTTCTTCATGTTGGAATTGTAAATCTACAAATGGACTAACTCACCATCTAGTGTGTATAAATATAAACTTGATAGGATAAGCACCTTAAAAGAAGGTTTCTCAACAGCGGTGCCCTTGACATTTTGGGCCAGATAATTCTTTGTTGTTGGGGCTGCCCGTCTATTGTTAGGATGTTTGGCAGCATCCCTGGCCTCTATCTACTAGGTGCCAATATTAACCTCCCCTGACCCCAGCATGACAGTAAAACATATCTCCACACATTTTCCAAATGTTTCTCGGGGACAAATCACCCCCAGTTGAGAATCACCAATTTAGAGTTAGGCCTTAATAATTTGGACTTGCTGTTTTATTCTCCCAACATGAATTCTACTGAGAATAAGAGAATACATTAATGCAACTTGGTGGGGGAGCCAAAATAAATGCCAAAAGGCTGACAAATAAAAGTGTACCGCAGGCCCTCATTCTTTATGTGTTTACTCAAACTATGTACGTCTCATAAACTGTTTCCTAGAGCACAAACAGAACTGATTCGAAGAGGCAAATAAAATGCAGTGTGAGAGCTTACTTTGGGTAGGCACTTGTACTGAGGAAATGGATTACTTTTTCATGAGGCCAAAGGAAACAGAAAAGCAGACACTTGAGTTTGCAGGTAAGGAAGCTGAAGCTGAGAGGTAGAACTAAGTTCACCAAGATTCCTGTACTTGAAAGTGATAGAAGTGGCCAGAATTTGAGATCAGTTCTGTTTGATCCTGAAGATCAGGCTCATAGTGTCTGCCCTACACTGCTTCTGTAACTTAGGGCCCAGGGTGCAGATGCATTTTTATGCTTATTTCCCTCGAATCTCACCTTCCTAAAATAGCCAATGTTAACTGCTGGCTATGCTTCCTTCCACACTCACTTTTCTCCCTGCTTCTTTGGTATACACCTGCCCACAGCGTCCCTACAGGTCAGTAAGTCCTGGTCTCTTTCAGTCTAACAACTTTTGCACACATGTTTGCACACACAAAAATCTATATAATTTTGCATAAATGAAATCTTTTAAATAGCATCTATATACGTGAGATCCTTTTTATAACTTGTTTTTTTTTTCCACCTTTGTGTACCTCTCTTCCTCTGGTAACTGTACTTGACGATCTGAGACATGTGTGTTTATTTCTGTACTTTTCTCCTGCTCACAGAGTCATATCTATATTAATCAATCTACCTACCTACCCACCAGCCCACCTATAGATAGACATAGATACAGACATATACATGTACAGGGTTTTGTTAATCTCTCCTTTTTAACAAATGGGATTATATCACATTTATTCTCCATATTATTTTCCATATTTAGTAAAGCTCATGGACATCTTTCCAAGTCAATTGTTGTAGCACTAATTCATTATTTTTCATGCTTGCATTATACAGGCTGATTATTCTATAACTTACTCAGCATTCCCATGTTCATAGGCTTGCATCTTGCTCCCAGTTTTTAGTATTACAATTAATATCCTTGTAAATATAACATTAGATACTGAAATTTTTATTTTCATGGGATAGATTCACAGGAGTGGGATTGCTGGTTGTATTTTCAATTTTGATTGATATTGGCAGATACTTAAACAATAATCATTTTCATTTCATTTCTTTTTCCATTTTTTCATGAATTTATCTTTTCCTTCTCCATGTGTAAGTGTGCTTCATGCATTGTAGAATAGCCATTCATCTTTATTAAAGATACATTTTTAGACCGTGTGCGGTGGCTCAGGCATGTATTCCCCACACTTTGGGAGGCAAAGGCAGGCAGATCACGAGGTCAAGAGATTGAGACCATACTGATCAACATGGTGAAAACCTGTCTCTACTAAAAATACAAAAATTAGCTAGACTTAGTGGCATGCACCTGTAGTCCCAGCTACTCAGAAGGCTGAGGCAGGAGAGTCGCTTGAACCCAGGAGGCAGAGGTTGCAGTGAGCTGAAATTGCGCCACTGTACTCCAGCCTAGTGACAGAGCAAGACTCCATCTCAAAAAAATGATACATTTTTAAAAATCTGTCATTTGTGATTGACTTTGTTTATTATCTATTCTAACTGTGGATTAAGAGACTGTACATTATAGTCTGGATTATATTCTAATATGCTTATTGTTTGTGAATGTGGTATAATATAGCCTTTCATTTCATTTTCTTTCAGATGGAGAACCACGTGTGCCCGCACCACCTATTAAATATACCCATGTTTCCTCATAGAACCGAAACATCACCTTTGATGCATATTAAATTCTCTATGTCTTAGTTTTCAACAGTCTAGCATTAACTTGGCCTTTGTTGATGAGACAGTATGCTGCAGCTCATCAGAGTAATAGATTCTCTTTTTCTGTCTTCTTGGGGAAGCACGGCTTGACAGTAATTCACCTTGCAGCCTGGTCTGGGAGCCTTGAGATCATGCTCATGCTGGTTAAAGCTGGAGCAGATCAAAGAGCTAAGAATCAGGTACGTATGTTGGTTACACCTGGACAAAAGCTTTTGCCTCACCACTGCAGGAGAGAGGAAGTTCTGAGGTCACTGTGTATCTCTCTTCAGGATAGAATGAATGCCCTCCACTTTGCCGCTCAGAGTAATCATGTGCACGTCGTGGAGTATCTCATTCAAGAACTGCACCTCAAGGACCTGAACCAGCCTGATGAGGTGTGTTTGCTTTGGTTGTACAGGTCTTACATAACACCACTATCAAAGTCCACTTCTTCCTGTCTCTGGTAGAGCTGCGAAAGCAACCAGCACAGACAGACCTGGCCCTGTAGCCAGCTCCTCTATCACCATGGCAGACCACAGAACCAAAGGGGAGTGTTGTATTAGCGGCAGTCCTGGCCCCTGATTGTAGGGAGAACAGGAAGTTTTGCGGAAGCACCCAGATACCTTCTTCCCATTCTACTCCCTCATCCTGGCCAGGGTGTAGGCAGTATCCTATCCCCTTTAGTAATCAGAATGTGTACCTAAATTTTATTATGCTTGGCCTTTTGGAAATATATTTGACCCAAAGCTATACAGAAATGAACCATGACATACAATGCAGTTTTATTGCATTTGTCAATATTCTTTTCTTTACCTAAGGGGATACATAACAATACCAGCTACTATTTAATGATTATCTATTAATATGCCAGGTACAGAGGAAAGCTTTTTACATACATTATTTCAGTAAGAGGTCTTGGGCCTGGCACCTACCGATGCTCAACAAATCATCTCGGAATGAATGAATGATCTCATTAACCCCTACAATAATCCTATAAAGTAGAAAATATTTTGCTCATCTGTAGAGGAAAGGAAGTTGAGGCTCAGAGAAGCCAAGCAACCTGATCAAGTCTCACAACTAAAAAGTAACAGAGCCAGGACTTGAAGCTAGGTCTGGGTGAATCCAGCCTTCACACTGTGCTGTCTCCCTCCTCAGATTGACAGTGGGCATTGCTCATGTTAGGGACTGTCCTTTCCGTGGATATCTCCCTGTAGGTATGTGACTTTTTTTTTTTAAATAGAGGAGTAGCTTTTTTTTTTTTTTAAATAGAGCAGTAGCTTTTTTTTTTTTTTAAATAGAGTAGTAGGCTCTATTTAAAAAAATTGGCACTTTGATTTCTCAGCAGCAGAATATATTTTGTGCAATTGGTACTTTGATTTCTCAGCAGCAGAATATATTTTGTGAATGGGACTTCTTTTTCCCTGTGCCACCAGAATACTATACCATAAAACTTTCTTTAGAAGCTGATCAGTAATATTCACTTCATTTCACCTCTTTTTAAAAAATTTTACATTTTTTTCTGACCTTATTTTTGAAAACAACAATATCAACAACAAAAAGTATTTCTTCAAATTAGGTCTATAAACTTCTTAGACTTCCTCTACATATGACTAAACAGCTATATATTTATAGCTTAGAGGAAGACAGACTTGGACTGTGGTCTTGTCAGTACCACCATGCACTAGCTGTGTGGTTTTAAGCAATTTTTCAATTGCTGAAAGCCTCAGTTTCTCCATCTTTACAATGGAAACAATAAAATCTACTTCATGGTAACAAGAAGGGTTGATAGGAGAAGTCTTGTCCCACATATAATTATTTTTTAAATCAGCAAACCTCCATTCTTTGAGGTATAATTATTGACATTTCCTCAGTCTTATGTAAAAGTACCTATGCAAATGAGTTCATGATGAGCCATTCCACAACCCCCTTCCACCCCATGCCATTCCTGTGTAGCAATACTTGGAGTAGCCACTGCTAAGATGCTTAAATGAGCTAATGACTATAAACCACTTAGCAATAAGCCAGGCACATTGTAAGTGCTCACTGTTGTAACAATTGTTATAGGGTAGAATATCTTATCTTATTTTCTCAAAGTGACAATCATAGTCAAATATCATTTAGTATCTGGGTGAGGAAGTTGGATCTTTCTAATTTTATCTATGCCAACTAGAGATGTGGCCAATGAATGAATTCCATTCAGTTCAGTTCAGCAGTTATTTGTTGACAGCCTGTTATGGATGAGACACACAGTTATCTCCCCATTCGGTGTGCTCTGATTGCTTCCATGAAGGACAGCAGTGTGTGGGAAGGATCAGGCAGGCTGATGGGGTTCAGAAACCATAGTAGGTTTGCAGCCTTCCCTACTTCTTGAGTTCCTGCTGGCCGGCAGCCATCCTGTCCATAACTCTTTTCAGCTGCTTCTGGGCATGTTGTCTCCCCTCACCTTCTTCCTCTTCTATCTGTTGTGAAAAAGGGTTTAGGAGCACTGGCAGCAAACTGCAGAGCAATCTGTCCAGCTGTGAGGTCTTAAATTGAGTTCAGAGACACACAAGGAATGAGCAAATAATGAATCCACTGGGTCATCTAGGGAAAGAAGACTCTGCGCCAGAGTCCAACTTTAGTCCTTTAAGAAAACGAAATTGATGAGTAGAAAAGACAGAAAAGAGGGAGGGGACTCAAGATGGCGCTGTGAGAACAACCCAGGATTGGAGCCCGCGTTGAATTCGCAAACGGTGAGTCAGTGCTGCATTTCCAGACTGATCTTTGTTGCCCACAGAACGGGGAAACTCCCAAGTATAAAAAGACACGAGACGCCAGGCAGTAGGTCTGCCTGGCGAAGCCGGCAGCCGGGGCGGCGGCGGCCGACCCTACCCAGCAATCCCCACAGGGCGCGCTTGTCCGGGTGCCTTGTTGAACCAGCAACCTGAGACTTGAGAGGGCTGGACTTGAGACTGAACGAGACTTGCACAGTAGCCCAGCCCAGGGGATTGCAGGGACAGATCGTTTGGGATACCCAGTGGGACGAACAAAACCGCGATTTCAAACTATCCCGGGCAGACGGTCCGAGACGCTCAGTGGGGGAGGGGCGTCCACCACTACGGAGGCAACCTGCCCCAACTGATATACACGCCCACTGCTGAGGCAGCCAGCCATTGCCGAGGCAACCCGCCCCAACTGAGATACACGCCCACTGCTGACGCAGCCAGCCGTTGCCGAGGCAACCGGTCCCTACTGAGATACACGCCAACTGCTGACGCAGCCTGCCGTTGCTGAGGCAACACGCTACAACGAAGAGACTCCGCCGCAGGGTGTGGCGGAGACCACAGCACAGCCGGCAGGAACAGCGCGAATCACACAACAGCAGGGTGGAGCCTCGGCAGCCAAACAGTGGCTAGTCTGCCTTCGAGCTGGGCAGGACACCTGATCGGACATCCAAAAATAAAGCCCAAACCCCTCAACACAGAGCATTTGAGAAAAAAAAAAGGGTTGTTTAATGAGCTGTGTTGCAGCAGAATCAAACATAGCAGCCTAACAGCCCTGAATGAACAACAGAGTGCACAGCTCAGCAATTAAACCCCTATAAAGTCCAAACTGTCTCCTCAAGCAGCTCCCTGACCCCTCTATATCCAAAAGACTGTCATTAGGCAGGCATCATCCTGGGACAAAGAGAGCAGAAAAAGAAACTGGTAGCATCCCTCACTGTGCCACGGCTACTAGAGGTGCACCCCAGACAAGCAGGGTCTGGAGCGGACCTCAACAGTCGTACAGCGAAGGGGCTAGACTGGTAGAAGGAAAACCAAGCAACAGAAATACTTCATCATCAACATTCTGGGTGTCCACTCAGAGACCCAAACGAAAAGTCAGCAACTACGCAGACGTCCAGCGGACAAATCCACAAAGATGGGAAGAAACCAGCGCAAAAAGGAGGAAAACACCCGAAACCAGAACACATCGCCTCCTAGAAAGGACCAAAACTCCTCACCAGCAAGGGAACAAAGCTGGACGGAGAATGACTGTGACGAAATGACGGAATTAGACTTCAGAAGATGGATAATGAGAAACTTTTGTGAGCTAAAAGATCATGTATTAAATCAATGCAAAGAAACTAAGAACCTTGAAAAAAGATTTGAGGAAATGATAACAAGAATGGATACCTTAGAGAGGAATATGAATGAATTAAAGGAGCTGAAAAACACAATACGAGAACTTCGCGAAGCAAACGCAAGTTTCAATAGCCGAATTGACCAAGCAGAAGAAAGAATATCTGAAGTCGAAGACCAACTCAATGAAATAAAACGAGAAACCAAGATCAGAGAAAAAAGCGCAAAAAGGAATGAACAAAGTCTCCAAGAAATGTGGGACTATGTGAAAAGACCTAACCTACGTTTGATAGGTGTACCAGAAGGGGACGAAGAGAATGAATCCCAGCTGGAAAATACTCTTCAGGACATCATCCAGGAAAATTTCCCCACCTAGCAAGACAAGCCAACACTCAATTGCAGGAAATACAGAGAACACCACAAAGATATTCCGCAAGAAGAGCAACCCCAAGGCACATAATCGTCAGATTCAACAGGGTTGAAATAAAGGAGAGAATACTAAGGGCAGCCAGAGAGAAAGGTCGGGTCACCCACAAAGGGAAGCCCATCAGACTCACAGCAGATCTCTCGGCAGAAACACTACAAGCCAGAAGAGAGTGGGGGCCAATATTCAACATTCTTAAAGAAAAGAACTTTCAACCCAGAATTTGATATCCAGCCAAACTGAGCTTCAGAAGTGAAGGAAGAATAAAATCCTTTGCGAACAAGCAAGTACTCAGAGATTTTGTCACCACCAGGCCTGCTTTACAAGAGCTCCTAAAAGAGGCACTACACATAGAAAGGATCAATCAGTACCAGCCATTCCAAAATCACACTGAATGCTAAAGAGCTTCAACATAATGAAGAATCTACAACAACTAACAGGCAAAACAGCCACTTAGCATCAAAATGGCAGTATCAAATTCACACATAACAATATTAACCCTAAATGTAAATGGACTAAATGCACCAATCAAAAGACACAGACTGGCAAATTGGATAAAAATCCAAAACCCATCAGTGTGCTGTATCCAGGAAACCCATCTCACATGCAAGGATACACAAAGGCTCAAAATAAAGGGATGGAGGAAGATTTACCAAGCTAATGGAAAGCAAAAAAAAGCAGGAGTTGCAATTCTCATCTCTGATAAAATAGACTTTAAAGCAACAAAGATCAAAAGAGACAAAGAAGGCCATTACATAATGGTAAAAGGATCGATACAACAAGAAGAGTTAACGATCCTAAACATATATGGACCCAACACAGGAGCACCCAGATACATAAGGCAAGTTCTTAATGACTTACAGAAGGACTT